TTATTATTTTTTATCTATTTGTGAGCATTCAGGGGCTCGTGTTGAGTGTGGGACAGACTAGTGCTAATGAAGAGGCCGGAGGGGGCTGAGGGGGCTGCGCTTGGAGAAATAAACACTAACTCAAGTTAATAATATGTGCAGTGCCTAAGAATGAGAAGAATGATTAGCCCGACCTTGAACACTGCTTTCTGTTTAGAGACAAAGGAGACAAGCATTTTCTGAAAGGCCCAGAGTTAATTAGCAGGTTTAATAAGTGAATTAGAAATAATATTGCTTGTTCTCCTAGTGCACAATAAATAAGCCTACTTTCACATGTCGCTCATATCTGTATAAAAGCACAAATGATCACTGAAGGTAACTTGCTATTAACAAATTTATACATTTTTTCTACATACTGCATACACTTTTGCATTTATAACCCCAGAAATGCCATAAGTTTGATGAAGGTGAAGTAGTGCTTTGGTAATCCCTATTTATACTTCACAGTGACATCATGCTGGGGGTGTTCTACATGTATCTCTAATGGTGGAATGTTTAGGAGTTAACATGGTGACACAATGCACACAATTGCTCTGTCAAAAAAGTTTATTTTATTTTATTTTTTTTACACACAACGGGGTTCGCCACCTGTTGCTACTCTTTTTCACTCACAAATTTCAAAACTTGTCCATGAAAAGTTTTGAAATTGTCATGATCTAAAGTGAATTTTCCATGACTTTACGGCACCTACATGTGTAGAACTGATCATATTTTCAGGGCTAAATACTAAATGTTAATCCTTTCCACTCACCTTATGGCTTGGTATTATAGTTTTTTTAACATTTAAAATACTGTCAGTGCATTTATTGTCATCTCTTTTAAACAAAAGGTGCATAGGTTCACAAATAATCATAGTCTAAAAAGAGATACTAAAGTTGCATGACTTTTCCAAACTTTCATTGAATTTACAAAATTCCATGACTTTCCAGGCCTGGAAAATTACATTTTCGATTTCCATGACTTTTCCAGAATTTCCATGACCGTGGGAACCCTGATCTCATCATTGTGACATATTTAGACATGCCGGTATTACGACACTTTAGTATTGCTATTCCAACACATCATATATGGTGTTCTCCATAGACAGCTTACTTAACGAAATGAATGAAGCACAAAGGGCCCAAGCAACCTCTGTTTTAGATGAGATAATTTCCTGTAGGCTGGCATGCGCTCTTTTTTATAATGCATGACTGTTTCCCACAGTGATCAGTTAGGGCATTTTCCCACTGCCTGATATCCTTTGTGGCTAAAGTATTCTCTGATCAAGTCTGATCACATTAATATTACTCACGTTGGAAAAGCGAAATGTTTGAAAAATAGTAAAGTACCGCTACTCCGACAACGAAAAAAAAAAGCTGAAGTAGTGGTGCACTTGAAAAATAATGTTTATGCTGCTACTCCGACAATTAGACATCAATGTCTAAATAGCGGCATGTCGGAATAGCCTGTAACCAATTTAAACAACAGATTTTCAGGAGATTAAGATGAATATGAGCGTTCACAGTCCTGTTCAGGTGTTTGATTTTCAACAGAAATGTGTGTCAGATTGTGTTAAAATAAAGCACAGAGTAAAATCTAATAAAGCCCCAGACAGAGAAGAGCCTACAGTTAGCGTCTCACCCTCAGTAAAGTGTATTTATATTAAAAAGAGGTAGGCTGAGGTTGGCATGGCAACAGTGGGGGAAAAAAAAAAAAAAACAACATAAAGGAATAAGATACTAAATATAGCTCCCACGGTTGAACTAAGGCTACAGCTGTTAGGACTGTCTCTGTCATACTGATACTTTGCTGCTAATGTCATCAACATCCACTGGGGGTGTGAAGCTAACTGTGAGCCCGGCTCTGTCTGAAGCTTTGTTAGACTTTAATTTTGTCTTAAAGATTTTCCAACATGTTTTCAGTTCAGTCTACAGTAGGTTGACCAAACATCCCTATTTTACCCGGGACAGTCCCAGTTTTGGGCCCTGTGTCCTTTGTCTCAACAGATTTATCCAAAACCAGTGATTTTTCCCAATTTTATACAAAAAATATCCCTAGTGTCCATATTTTTGACAAATTTGATCCCTGCCAACAGTAAAGAGAGGCATAAATTGTAATTTGTTTAAGAAATTTACAAAAAAAATCTGTTTAAAAAAGCAACCAAAACACAAAGAAAATGTAACTATGCTGGCTCACATGTTATTTATGAATGGTCTCTGCATAACAATTTTCCTTAATTATGCACTAATTTCACAATTTTATTATTAACTAACCACCAAAAAGCAGGGATGTCCCAGTTTGTTTTTTTTTTTTATCACAGGCTACTCAAAATGTGTTGTCTAAATCCATTTTGTGATTTTATGAGTTTTTATCTTAAAACCATTTTGTCTGTTTGTTTGCTAAAGTGTGCACTGTGTCGCTATAGTAACTGCTGAACATTCCACCACGCACATCCATGTAGAATACCCCAAGCTGCAGTCGTAGTCTTCACGTCCACAGGGAGCTTTTCGATGGCTGCTCAATGATGCATTTCCACATTCCCAGACCAAACCTGCCCAGGCCTATTCACATGAAGGGCATTCTGTCCTTATAAAAGTTAATATAGGCCACCACTGGACCATGACTGCCCCTCCAGCTCTACAGCGCGATCCAAACCACAGGGACAGACTTCTGAGACCGGCAGTAGACAGATTGGGTAAGTTCACTGATAGATTTTTCAATGTTAACACAATATTTAAAGGTCTGATATTGAACAAAATAGATTCTTGTGAGCTTTAAACCATGCTATTATGTTGTTTCCTCATCAAAAAATGCTTGGAGTTGTGTTTTGTTACATTCACACATGTTTAAGTAACTGTGGGAGCCTAAACCCAGTTTTGTAATTTTTTCATTACTGAGATAATTATCCTTATTTTGTTTGATTTAATGTTTACTTAAAATGCATGATTTTGGGTATTTTGGTAATTCTTTATTGTTAACATGATTATTTGTTGATTATTTGCTAAAAAATTATTTGATCTATTTACATTTTTCTTTCAATTAATTATTGCTAATGTTAATCATAAGTTTACTTAAGTAATGTTTATTTTTTGTATTATCTTGTGGTCTATGGCTCCTTATTTAAGGCTAGTACAGGTGCACTTTGAGAGTGTGGAGCGGAGCCAAACTGTTTTTTGACCTCCTGTCACCTGTATGTTAAAATGTTCCCCTTTTTTGTATGTATTTGTATGTCTCAATTATGTGAATACTCAGTAAAGAGTTTTTAACTGCACTTGGATTGCTCTCCATGTATTCTTTTATTTTTGAGGCATTTTAAAAGGTGGAACAAGGTGCGCAAAGCATCAACTATGGCTTCACAAATGTTTGGACCTTAATTATTAGTCTGTGTGCATCTCCAAAGCTCAAAATGCTCTATTCCATCTTGTGATGTCATGTAGTTGTAGTTTTCAAGTTACCAGCTACCTTTTTTCCGTTTGTTCTGTAGAGATTGGCTTTTCCAGGGTGTATGGAGTTTAAAAACACAATGGAGCAATTCCTGTATTACCACATGACATCTCAAGATGGAACAGAGTGAACTCAGCCTAAATATGCATTGTTTGTGTGTTAATCATGTGTGAATGAAACAAAACACAACTCCAAGTCTGTTTTTGATGAGGAAACCACATAATAGATCAGAACGTTGTGCAGTATCGGCTCTTTAAAAGAGACAGACAAGAAATATTACCTATGTGCAGTGTTGGGAAGTAACTGAATACATTTTGGTACATTTACTTTTTCTTTTGGTGATATTCAGAATGCAGTTATTTTTCTAAAATCAAAGGAATCCATTGTTGTGCTTGATAACACAATTTATTCTTCCAACTGCTCGATATTAGAGAGAAAAATAGAAAACACTGCTCTTGTGATGAGTGCATGTGTGAGTTCTCTTTCTCCTGTCAGTGATAAATAAATGTGTAACAAATGGTCAAACAAACATCAAGTTTTTAATCATTGCGTGCAACTCAATGTAAAAATATTCTATGTATTCAGAACACAGTATTCTGATTGGACCATGTATCGCAGTACATTACAAAATAGATTTTAAGGCTTAGACTTAGGGAAATAATTTGGACACAATCACAATATATTATAATAACAAAGAGCAAAAATATGAATTGTAATAAATTGAAAATAAAAATAGCAAAAATAACAAGATTGGTGCCAAATAATGCATATGTAAAAAAATAAAAATAAACAGGAATATAGTAATACAAATATATCTCAGCTGTATACAAGAGGTCATAAGGACAAAACAGTACAAAGATTAATAAGGTTTTCTATTACACAAGGGTGAGTTGTTGTAGCCAGGCTGGCGCCACCTAGTGTCTCCACTCAATTTAATTTCTGTCCAGCGACTAGGTCAGGAATTGGAATACACTAGACGTTTTGCAAGAACCCCAGAAGTTGTAGACTGCGCACCGGCCAATCAGCAAAGAGCTGAACCCACCCAAGTTGCAATAGTAGACTGCATACACTATCCTCCTTTGGACTTCCTTTGTCAAATACAAACTTCACTTTTTTTTTTTGCACCTTTGATTTACAAGTTCACTTCGTAAAAATGACAATGATTGTTGACAGACATGTTCACTCTCTGCTTTGTTTGCTGTTGTGCTGCAATTACTTGGACACCACTGAGCGTTCTGGCGCATTACATACGTCACAACCAAATAGCAGCGATTGGTTAAATAAAAAAAGTACCTGCCTACTGCAGAGTGAACAAATCCTAATGCTGTGAGGTCAGAGGGTTTCCACGAAGTGAAAAAAACATCTAATAAATCCGGCTAGAGTTGTTGTACAGTTGTATGGAGTATGGTATGAATGCAGTAATTTCAGTATTCTGTAACTAAATACATTTTCAAAGTATTCTTCCAATTACTACTTATGTGTATATACTGTACTTGTTGATTTTGACTCATTTGTGACCTGTTGAATGACTTTCACACATGTCTGAGAACAGAATGGAGGAGACCACAGTGAAGGACAACAGCCCCCCACAGAGAGGACCTCACAGTGGGGACGCTGAGAGGCCCTTACTCACTCACAAGTGGAGATCCTGCAGGACCACTCGAACCACAGTCAAAGGTTAAACCACCACTTCTATTGATCTTACAAATCAATTCGTTGCCATAAGAGACCGTCAGCCAATTGGGGCGCAGCATGTGGGACATATAAGAGGCAGTCTGACCTTCAGTCAATTACTGTTGTTAAGGGAGATGAGGTCAAGGAGAAGTCTGTAGGCTCAATATATCGTCACGTTGTATTTGAGAATAGATTGTGAACCGGAGATGTCCAAACTATTTTCATCAAGACACAAATAATAACCTCTTGAAGCACTAATGAAGTGAAGGGCAGATCGAGGGTCACAGAGTTGTCGTTAATACTGTTAGTAATTAAAGTGGGTGCATTTAGGGCAGGTGTGACTGAACCACCTATGAAGGTTTTGAACCTCAAAAAGAAAGAGTCACATGCTTTGACCAAACTTTACAAATCAAATCGAATAATGAAGAAGGGACTGGCTGGTCAGGCAATCAGAAGGACACAGTAAAATGTTTGACATTGGGTTAGTAAAGGTAGTTTTTTTTAAACACTTGCAATAAAAAATGATTGTGAGGGCTGTATTTGGCCCTGAACTCAGTCAAGTTTTGAGATGCCTGCTTTATGGGGTACAACAAGGAGGTTAAATGTGTTTGAAGTTTGAAGTGCACAGTGCATACTCCCATTTGTGACAGTATGTCACCAAGACAGTAGAAATAGTTTATTTCAGTTAAAGGCATAGAAACCTAGCCTGATTCATCAGCCGGTTCCACTTCGTGGAAACCATCTGACCTCACAGCATTAGGATTCCTTTGCTCGACAGTAGGCGGGTACTTTTTTTAATTTAACCAATCATTACTTTTTGGTCGTGATGTATGTAATGCGCCAAATCCCGTGGGAAGAAGGGCAATAACGTCTTTCTCCTTGATAATATTCACCAAACATTCTCTTGGTTCTGGTTTTAAATCCTCGATCTCAGAAATCATTGCCAAATGATGAATGTATGGCTTCGTCTGCATCCATCTCGACCACTTTGTTTACTGTTGTGCTGTTCCACAAAAGGGACACAGACAGGTGCTTGGTCTACAACTTCTGTGGTTCTTGCAAACCATCTAGTGTATTCCGTTTCCTGACCTAATTGTTAGAGAAATTAAATTGAGCGGAGGCACTAGGTGGCACCAGCCTAGCTAGTAGAAACCGACTTGTTCAAAGGAAAGTGGGAGAACGTTAATAGAATAAAAAGCTTTTGTAGAATTGCTTTGGGTAGTAGACATAGACTGTATATATAAATGGACATAGCTAACATGATAGCCGCCATGTTCCAAACATGAAGTGCTTTCTAATTGTCTTTACAACTGAGAAATTGTCATTTGACTGGAGCTGAACACTATGGGTGACATCACACTACCTTAATCCACTTCTTTATACAGTCTATTGTAGTAGACCATTCTTATATCAACTATGCATTTTTTGTGAACAGTGTGTCTGTTGAAGCTGAAGGCATGGATGGAAACCCTGTGTGGTCTGGAGTGGTACTGCTTTGCTGCTCTGGGGGTCTTCACAGCTCTGCTCAGTGTTCTTATAGACCTCAGTGTTGCCAAAATCATCACAGGTACAAACACTAACAACGAATAAAAGAATCAAATGAATAAGTAGGGTGACCAGATTTTCAAAATTCTAAACTGGGACACACCGGGATTTGGATTGTTGCTATGAATAAAACTGTGCAAACAGCGTGTAAGATTGTGCATTCTCATGTCAGTCATAAACTGAGGATTCTGTCGCTGCATTTTTCTGCTTTATGGTCATTAGCAAACACGGTTTTCTGTATTTTGAAGAAACAAATGACAATTTATGCTTTTCTTTACTGCTGACAGGAATCAGATTAGTCAAAATTTGTGACAGTCCTGTTTTAGTCCTGATTTGGACCTGATATTGTCCTGGTTTAGTCTTAGTTTAGTCTTGATTTAGTCCTGATTTAGGTCAAATTGGGCAAAATAGGAACACCTCAGACATTCTTGTATAAAACTGGGACAAATCACTAGTTTTGAAGGGGACACAATGCTCAAAACACAGGCGGTCCTGAATAAATAGGGATGTCTGGTCACCCTATGAATAAGTGAATAAAATGTATCTAAACTAGGAATCAGGAGTGGTGTATTCATGACGTCTTATTCTTTTTATATGTTGTTAAAATGTGAGAGGTAGTGGGAGGTAACCACAGGAGGTTATGCAGGGCTAGCACCTTTGACACCAGCAGCAGGTATTGACTCTGGACTGGGGAATCTTTTTAGGAACAGCTCAATCAGTCAATCAGTCTTTATTTATAGGGCCCTTTACAACACTCAAGGTGTCCAAAGTGCTTTTCCAATAAAATCAGCAGTACAGAAACATGCAAAACACAGTAAATACATCAATTCTTCCACAGGATCCCAGTCACACACACAGCTAAATTAAATGTAAACAGAAAAACAAAACAAAACTGTACTTTATTTTTACTCTGCTTTTACTTCGCTACATTTGAGAGCAGGTGCCTGTACTTTCTACTTTTATTTTAATGTGTTTAATGTTTCTCCTCCACTACATTTTTCAACCGCACTGAAGTATTTTTTATTATTGTTTGAGACCTGCAGAGAAGGCTGAGCGGTTTATTCGATCAAGTTCATAATTTGAATAAACAAAAATAAAATACATCAAAATAACTACATTTGAAGCTTTATTAGATCTCAAAATCTGCACAAAATACTTTTACTTTTACTCTTAAAATAAATGTTTAAACAGGTACTTTAATACTTTTACTTAAATAGATTTTTTCATGTGATATTTAGACTTTTTCAGTATCTGTACATTTACTCAAGTAACAAATTTGAGAAGTTCTTCCACCACTGATACTATAAAATACAAGAAATTATGTCATTTTTTCAGAGAGTAATGTATTAAGTTCAAATTGCACATCTCCTGCAGCACATCAGCGGCTCTACCTGAATCTGGAAGGCAGTGTCCTCCTCCAGTTCCTATGCTGGACTCTTTACCCAGCATGCCTCTGTGCTATGGCCTCCTGGCTCTCTCATTACGTCTGTCCTTTCTCCACAGGTAAGACCAGGTTGTGAGTTGAATTGCACATATCCAATTGTAAATATCCATACATAAAGGCATCATTTTGTTAAAGGTCCACTGTGTAACTTTTCTGATGGGACTATGCTGTTCTTTCGCTTCAAAAGCTCCAGAGTATGGTATTACTCTGGCACATTTCTATCAGAATTTCAGCTATACATAGATTCTGACCTCATCATCTAATCAAAAGTTATTCTAAAATGGCTCAAATGTTCAATTTTGGGATAAAATGTCTGCAACCTCATCAAAAATATATACCTGGAGTTGTGTTTTGCTTCATTCACACATGTTTGAGCCATTCTATGTATAGATTGGCAGTTTCAGGGCTGAAATTATCCAAATGATGGAGTTTAAAAACACACTGGAGCAATTCCTGTATCGCCATATAACACCACAGGCGTGTTTTCAGTTTGAGAGAAGAACTCGGGCTAAGTATTCAGAGTTTGTGTGTTAAACATGTGAATGAAACAAACACAGCTTCAGGTATGTTTTTGATGAGGAAACAACATTATAACGTAGACTTAAAGGGTATATGCTTGTCAGGTTGCATAAGGACAACATGGAGGTCATACATCTCATTGTGACCTACTGTAAATATCCACCTGCTTAACTCCAAATGACCCCATGTGACCCAAGAGTGCCCCCAGTGTGAGGGTCAGGTTGAGATCCAGAGCAGGGTGTAAACTTCAATGTCACCAATAAAGTGAGACATTTACAGCCTACATGCTTTCAGACAAGGCAGACCTGCAATGACTTTTCAAAAATCTATATACTGGAGATATAGTGTTAGCTCTGCATAATCTGTGCTCGGGTTCAGTGCAGAACAAATTTGACAGGTAACTTTCACTGTCAGATTAAATCTATTTAATGTAATGCTACACATCAAATGGACTTTTCCTTATCATCAGAGGACACTTTCAGGTTCAGTAGAATTTGCAAGGGTGTCCTATATCTTCGGTGATATTTGCGGATCACAAAAAAAGGTATCCTAATCTTTGTTTGGTGCGATAAGGGGAAAAAAGTTAAAGGAATATTATATCGTTGCATCAGTAGACAGTACAAAGTAGCTACCAAAACTGGATAAACTGTAAGCGTTTCTATTTAAATGGCCCATATTACGCTATTTTCTGATCACTATTATAATGTTATTTCCTCATCACAAACATACCTTAAGTTGTGTTTTGTTTCATTTGTGTATTTTAAACCCTGCATATTTAGGACACGTTTTCAAACAAAAAAGACTTTGTAATGTTATGTGGTAATACAAGAAGTGCTCCAATGTGTTTTTAAACTCTATACACCTTCACTAGATCATTTGGATGATTGCAGCCCTGGAATTTCCAATCTCTACTGAATTAAAAGTTAAAGGTAGCTGTTAACAAGAAAACTGCAGCTTCATGACATCACAAGGTGGAACAGAGCATTTTGAGCTTTGGAGATGTGAACAGAGTAATAATGCAGGTTTACTGAAACATGTGAATGAAACAAAGCACAACTCCACGTATGTTTTTGAGGAGGTAACAGCATTATAACATGACTTAAAGTTCATAAGAGTCAATTTAGTTTTGTTTATTTGTTTAATGACAATATACATAAAAACACTGAGCTACACAAACAGGTCATATGTTTGTGCCAGGTTATAGCAAAATTGATACTTTCCACCTTCAGTACCTCAATCAGTAAGTTAAACTAGTCCCATTCAGTCTCAGTCATCACATCCATTCACATTCATACACATCCATACACATCCATACACTTCCATACTTTTCCATACACTATTTACTAGGGATGTAACAATATCCACGTCTCACGGTACGATATTTATTGTGATATTTTTGAATAGGCTAATATAATTGTAAATGGGACACTTTTCTGTTTTTAAAATACCTTGACAAGATTTTGGTGTGAATTATTTCTGTCATAATCCCAAGAATTCAAGTAAAAAACATATTTCTTCATGTTGTCTACACTGAACTAAATCATGGGATATGTAGTTCTTGATGTTTATGAGCTGTTGCTACTATAAGACCACGCATTTAAGCAAAGGAACTTGTGAGTTAATATATTTTCACAGCCCATTATATTATTGTGGTACTTTTGCCGATACAATATGATGATATTTCAGTAATTTTTACATCCCTACTATTTACATATTTACAATTCATATTGCTGCATTGTTACAGGGCAGATTGTTTATGTGCTCGTACAAATATCTAGCGTTGCTCTTTTCACATGAATATCCTGTTGTTTTTGACTTGTGATCTTATTATTTTGATACCTCAGGGCATCTTTCTGCTCCCACACAGGTTCAGGGATCCCAGAAGTGCGCTCTCTGCTGGCGGGTTTTGAACTGCCCCAGTACCTGTCCGTATCCAACATGTTCACCAAGAGCCTGGGTCTGATCTGTACCCTGTCCGCGGGCAACACACTTTTCCTCGCCAAAGTGGTATGCCCCCCCTCACCCCACGGTTCAGTCTTTATTGTGTATTCTGTGTGTGCTTCTGTGTAAATGCTGTTTGAACCTCAGGGCCCCTTTGTGCATGTGTCCACTATGATGGGAGCGTATCTGAGCCGCCTGTGTGTTCGTATTCAAGGCCAAAATAAGGTAACAGCGGTGAACAGTAAATAGCTAATGGGTTTTTGTAAACATTATGCAAACATGAGTGACTAGCTACATGGATTTTAGAACAAGAGCCATTAGTACTAGAGTGGGACCTCAACGCACGCTGCATTTTTAAAAACAGCATCATACAATGCAGCCATACAATGATAATGACAACCAGGCTTTCAGTACTTTCGTTAAAGGTCCTATATTATGTTATTTTCTCATCTATGCAATAATGTTTCCTCATCAAAAACCTACCTGCAGTTACGTTGTATTTCATTTACATGTTTAACACACAAACCCTTCTGAGTCCTTCTCTCAAACTTCTCTCTTCCACCTTGTGATGTCATGTGGTAATACAGGAAGTGCTCCACTGTGTTTTTAAACTCCATACACCTTCACTAGAACCATTAAGATCAATTCAGCCATGGAATTGTCAATCTCTACTGAACCAAAGGTAAAAAGTCATTGTTAAAGGTACAGTCCAGAATTTTGGACATAGGACCTCATTTCCTAGTTAGCCAGAGTGTTGGAGACGCATGGAGACACTTTTTAAAATATTCCATCCAGTCCTTGTATTGCATCGGTCGCTGGTGCTAGGCTCAATGGCCATAATTATCCTGCCACTAAAAACAGTCTTACCCACTACACAAAACACCTGAAGCAAATCTATTATTACACCAGATTGTCAGTGTAAATGTCTGTGTTGATAGAATAATGTTTGAAATAAAACTAACCTTGCATCGCATGAATTGTCGCATGTTGAGGGACTATTTTCTCAGCAGCAGTGAAATTTAACTATGCTGGTAATATAGGCGCTAGGTGATATGAGTCCGCCGCTGCCAAGCTTTTTATCAGGAGATACAACTCGCTGTTGCTGCTCAGACATAAGTCCTTCAAGTGCAAGGTTGGTTTTGCTTCTAAAATGATTCTGTCAACACACACATTCACATCGACAGTCTGGTGTAATAATAGTTTTGCTTCGGGTGCTTTGTGGAGTGGGTAACACTGTTTTTAGTGCCAGACTGACTATGGCCATTGACATGCACTAGCCAAGCACCAGCGACCTCTGAGCTTTAGAGATGTAGACCAACAATAAAGTGTTATTCAAATGTGTGAGTGAAACAAAACACTCCAGGTATGTTTTTTTTTAAATATAACAACATTCTAACATGGCTTAAAGCTCACAAGAATCATGGTTTATCATCATATTGTCATATCATATTAAACTTTCTGTTGAACTGAACAAAGACTTTTACATTTCACTGTATTCTTTGTGGTGCTTTTGAGTCCAATTTACCTGCGTGATAAAATGGGTGAATATCTAATTTTCCACAGTGACTCAATAAAAAGATTAAATGTCCTCCATGATTCAGCGGAAAACTTTCAAACTTTTATAGTGAGTGATAGAGAAGTACCTCAGGATTTGAAGTGCCCCTCTCTTTGAGCTCGTGCCCTTGATGCCGCCTTCACCTGTCACAGATCGTGCAGAGTCTGTGTCACGTTTAGGTTAGCCTCAGATGTCTGCTAACTTTGTCACTTTTTTTGGAGTTTAGAGAGACTACTTTAGGAGATACTTTAGAAGCTATTCTTTTCAGAACATTCGAGTGCTCCTAAGATCTGTCTGTATCTAATCTGTCTGGATCTAATCTACTATACAAAACAAAAAAGTGCAATTGTAAGAACTTGGATCCATAACAACAAAATAATAACTTAGACTTTTATTGATCCACAAGCAAAATTATTTGGAAACAGAACCTCACACATCACAGTATGATATAATAACAAAAATATAAATGGTAACGCTACATTCAAAATAAGTAGCAAAAATAGCAAGAGAATGGTGTCTAATAAGGCATAATTATATAAATGTGCATATCCAAGTAAAAATAAAATGTAGAAATATTGTAATACATATATATCTCAGCTGTATACAAGAGGTCATAAGGAGATAAATTGCAAAAATAAAGTAGTGATTGTCATGACAGTGTTATCTATGACATAAGGGGGAGTTGTTGTACTGTTTTATGGAGTATGGAATGAATGTAGTCCTGTATCATGACTAAAACGTATTATTGTGCATTTCCTCAGTCATACAGGTAGGTTCCACTAGAAAAGAAAATTAAATTCTGAGTTTTAAGAGTGAACCAAGTCATCCAAGCAACTCGGCTGTCTCAGTTCTGACAGGGTTCTGTGGTGTCACTGCTTTAAATTGGTCTGTTATTGATTAAGGTCATTGAACTTCTCCAAAGTGTGGACATATCATATTTTGCATAATCGTTCCTGCCCTTTGAATTGCACCTGGCTGACAGAATTAATTATTTTGCTAAACTAATCATTTATATTTAAAGTTTTGGAGTGTGATGTTACGTGACTCTTAAAATGCAATAGTGGAGTTTAACTACTGGGTTTTTGACAGTTTTAGATCTCAAAGCTGCAAATTAAAGTATTTACTCCTCAAAGTTTTGTCCAGAATTTTTTTTTTGACAGAATTCTAATTTCATTTGCCACGTATTCGGCACTGTTACAGGCAATGTGAGTAAGTAACTGACTTTTAGCAAAAACTAAAATCTAGCAAAGTTTAATCAGAATTTTAGTAAATTTCACTTGGCAAGTAAAATTATCTACCTTTTATCTAAGACTTTTTGTACTTAAAATATGAAAATACACATTTCTACATTTCAGATAGGAAAAACAACAGCTTTTTGTGCTTAAAATAAGAAACAAAAGCTAATGAATTAAGAAAAACACACTTATTCCACTACTACTCAAGCAAACTGAAATGTTCTTAATTCAAGTCATTTTAACTTACCTAGATATTGCTTTTTGCAGTGCATGTACCAAGAATACATATTCAGAATACAAATTTTGAGTACAATTACTTTTTCATTTGATGGTATTTGTAATACAGTTACTTTTCTAAAATCAAAGGGATACATTGCAGTATTTGCTCATATAATTTAGGCTTCAAACTGCACATAATTAGTGACAAAAATATGAAACCATGTTCTTGTAGTGAGTGCATGTGTGACTTTTCCTTTTCCAGGTAGTCATAGGAAATGCATAACAAACAGTGAAACAAACAAAGTTGTTTTTAATCCTACGTTGCACTTTTACACTATAATTAAATGCAGCTTGATGTAAATGTATTCAGAGTATTCAGAATAAAGTACTCTGATTGGACCATGTATCAGAATACGTTAGAAAATACATTTTAATGCAGGTTTTCAGTATTCTGTAACTAAATACATTTTCAAATTGTTCTTCTCATCGCTGGTTCTAGGCAGATGTTGGTGATCAGATGATGGTGGTGTCGACAGCGGTGGGCGTGGCCAGTTGTTTTGGAGCTCCCATCAGTGGTACAGGCCTGACCGCACTTAGACAATCTAATATGTGTCTGTGTGTACTTTTACTTCTGCGCCCCTCTCTGCTCCTTTTTGATCACCACTCTGAGCCCGTACTTCTATCCCCTCTTCAGAATCCTCTCTCACACTTGAAAGATTTTAAGAAGTTTCTTCTCTTGCTGTGTCTGTGCTTTTCCGTTGTTTGGTGTTCTTAGAGAAAATATGTGTTCTGTTTGCACAAAAAGAAAAATGACTGATCCACTGATGCGTTTTATTTCTTAATACACCAAATGTCATAGAATGCACGCTAATTTTTGCCTTTCAACCTACTTTCAACTTTTCTTTTTTAGACTGGAGTTGTGTTTTGTTTCATTCACACATGTTTAAAACACAAACCCTGCAAATTGAGACTTTGTACTTCCCCCAAACAGAAAACACTCTGATCCACCTTGTGATGATTTAGAGCTTTTTGAGATGTCCACAGACTAAATAATAAAAGCTTACTCAAACATGTGTGAATGAAACAAATCGTAATTCCAGGCACATCATGTAGGAGATCCATTTTCTTTTGCAAACCAGTTCATATATACCTCCATATGAAGAGTACAAATGTAACAGTAGCCTCTGATAGTGTCCAGTGTGTAGATGTGTGATTGTGTGTGCTGTGTGCAGGTGTTCTGTTCAGCATTGAAGTGGCGTGCTCGTTCTTCCCTCTCAAACATTACCTGCCCTGTTTCCTGGCTGCGTTCTGTGGGGCTCTGACCTTCAGGCTGTTTGCAGTCTGGACTGGAGAGGAAGGTATCACAACTAATAATGAGCAACTGTTCTACTTCAGCATAGCGGAGTTATTGCATTTCAAATAGATTATTATTATTATTTTGATTGAACTGGCACTGCTAACACTGGTTCGCATTGTCATTATAGTTGTATAGCAGTGTTTCCCAAACTTTTTTCAGGGGACCCATATTTTAAAAGTCACAACCTTCGCAATCCAAGTCAATAGACATTATTCGTAAATCACAACATAAAAGTGCATTTGACAATTATTGAACATTAATGAGGATATTTTATTGTTGACTGAGTGATCGTGTCTCTCTGAACATTTAGTATTACTCAAGTTTTAAACTATGAAAAACAGCAACAAAAGGATCCATAAGTCGCCTATTTGGAAATTAAATGTACGTAGCCCATTTCTCTTTCTTTTCAGCATTCAATAATCAATAAAACAATTACAAACAGATAAGAAGTCATACAAAACATGTCTTAACATTTCAACATGTGTCAGAACTGTATATCGCAGACCTACATGCAGATCGTGACAAGGCGACCCAAAACAATGTTGTATAGCATGTAAAATCCCTCAGTTGTCCAGGTAGAATCCATGACAAGAAATTCAATTTGTCAACTATTGACAAATTGAAGACTTGTCTAGTGCTTTTCCTAATGCTCAGATTTGTAGCCGCATCTGCCCTGGGGATAGACTGACGGGAGTGAGGCTGTCAATCTGCACCATTAGCCCCTCCGTCTACCACCAACATTCACATACACACTACATTCACACTAGGCAATGTGGGTGAAGTGCCTTGCCTGAGGACACAACAACAGTTTGGCCAATAGCCATTGTGGCACCTGGTATTCTGAATGGGCTCCCACGCAAGCACTAACCAAGTACCAATATCAGACAAGATCAGACATTGACAAGCATGTTATCTAAATAATATATATATTTATAGGGTTGTATTTACTGTTGTGTCCAAAAGGTGATAAGTACAACATCCCACCGTCTTGAACTGAACCATAAACACAGTCAAATATCATTGGCGGGTTCCTCGTCTGTCGCCTTTTGTACAATTTCCAAAAAGTTTCCAAATGTAATCAATGTATGAGTTACTACTCCCACTGAAATCTTCACCTAAATGAGATGTTACACAACCCAGTCACATCTTCCGCAAAAAGGCATCAAATTACTAATCATTTGCTGCCAGACTTTTATTGAAGTTGAGAGCTGATACAATATCTGACAGATTCATTTTATGTCCCCAGAGACGGTACAGACTCTGTACAAGACAAACTTCTCCACAAAGTTGCCGTTCTACCCATTGGAAATCCCTCTCTTTGGCTTTCTTGGGTGAGATTACTTCCACACAATTTGCATAATCGTCTTTTCCAGATCAGTGAAGATGGCAACATTTGGCGCTAACTGAAAATTAGCCTTGGCATCCTTTATCAGTCTCCACAGTATTCCTCCTCCTTGAATGTAATGACGTCCTGTTGCTTGCCTTCAGTGGTGGAGCGTAACAAGGAAAAAGTATTCAAGTACTGTACTTCAATCAAATTTTTAGGTATCTGTACTTTACTTAAAGGCACATTGTGTAACTTTTCTGGTGGAGGGTCAGTCACCTGCTGATGACCTGAGATGTTATTGCTTTTTGTAGAATGTTCCATGGTAGAGATTAAACCTATCTATCTCAAGGGAGGCAATTATAAGGTTGCCAGGCTGGCGCCACCTAGTGCCTCCGCTCAATTTCATTTCTCTCCAGCGACAAGATCAGGAATTGGAATACACCAGATGGTTTGCAAGAACCTCGGAAGTTGTAGACCGCGCACCGACCAATCAGCGAAGAGCTGTGAAGTCATGACGTTGAACTCTAAGCACTTGTCTGGGTCTCTTTTGTGGTACAGCACAACAATAAACAAAGTGGTCGAGATGGATGTAGACGAAGCCATACATTCTGTGTTGACAACGATTCCCAAGATCGAGCATTTATAGCCGGAACAAAGAGAATGTTTGGTGAATTTTATCAAGGGGAAAGACGTTATTGCCCTTCTTCCTACAGGATTTGGGAAAAGCTTAACTCTTTCCCCCCTGGACGCCTACTAGGAACAACCCATACATATGTTACTAGGGCTACCCATAGAGCATAATTGCTTAAAAGAAAACAGACTGCCACGAGTGATAATAAATTATTTTTACACTCATGAACTTAATTGTAACACAGACATATTTGGTATCTCTGGAAACCTTAGACTCTGAACTATTCATTACTACATTCAGCATTTGATATATACATGTTCTGAGTACTATATTCATAAAAAAATAAAAATATACTTTGTCAAAGTATTTAAACAGATTTCATATCACCAGATACAGTATAGCCAAGTGTACACCTGTTTTTACCTGTTGTACACCTGTGTGCAAACAATAAATTTTTTTCCATTTAACTTATTCAACTCATTTAGCTTATTCAACTTATTTTATTTATTCAACTCATTTAGCTTATTCAACTAATTTAGCTTATTATAATATGATAATATAATAATAAAACTCTTCCCCGTCAGTGTGAGTCCAGTATTTGTCATCTTGGCTATTTTCTCGTGCGCAGAGCTCCGCATAAGCGTTTTTTCTGTAGCGATTCTGTTATACATCGCATCTTGGAAAAAAAGACTGAAATATTTTAAAGGACTAGCCTGGGCAACATCCAGATTTCAGGGCAATTTTGGTTCATAATCGAGTATAAAGCTCAGATAGTTTGTTCGGATATCGCAGGACTCCACACAGACGCATCAGCGGCATTCTCATCTTTTCCCCGAAAGTCCGTCGCTGTCGCTGTTTTCCACTTTATAATCAACTTCAACATCATCACTTTGAAATCTATAAAAGTCACTTTCTCTAAACTTATCCATAAAATACGTCCGCTCCTCATTATTTCTAAAACTGTGCGCCGCAGCGCCGCGATCTTTCCATTGCACGTGTTTCGTGTTGTGTTTTTTCCGGAAGCTACCATCGTCACTATTTCGATTAACTTCGGAAAAAATCGGCGAAAACATATCCTTGAATCCTATTGGTCAGTCTAGTGTCGGTTGTAGTGGCCCCGACCTATCACAGTCTCTGTTTAAATGTGAAAAACCGAGCCATTTCTAAAGGTCGTCAAATCTCGTCTTTAGTGATACGGCGGAGGTGTCAAAAGTCGTCATTAAGGGTTCAGGGGGGGTCATCAAATGTCGTCTTCATGGGGGAAAGAGTTAATATACCAGTTAGGCCCATTAGCGGCACATTACATACGTCACGACCAAATAGCAGCAATTGGTTAAATAAAAAAAGTACCTGCCCACCATTGAGAACAAATTGTAATGCTGCAAGGTCAGACAGTTTCCACGAGGTGAAACCGGCTCATGAATTAGACTAATTATAAGGTGCATTACAGGTTAGATCTGTCAAGAGTCGCCCCTATTCTCAGAGAAAATGACTGATATTTTTTAGCAACAAAAACACCTGTAATGAATAAATGCTTAATGTTTAATGTCATACCATGGAACATTCCAGGCAAAGCAGTAACATCTCTATGGAAACAAGCAGGCAATGGACCCTCCCCCTGATAAGTTGTGAAATGTACCTTTAAGTAAATTTTTAAGTGGATACTTTTGACTTTTACTTAAGTACATTTGAGAGCAGGTATCTGTACTTTCAGCTCCACTACATTTTTGAACAGGACTCAATGTAAAGTGTTTTTATTACTGATTGAGATCTCAAAATCTGTTAGAAATACTTTCACTTTTTATTCTTTAAGTACATTTTTAAACAGGTTCTTTAATGCTTGTACTTAAATCAGTTTTTCATGCGATACTTTTACTTGAATATTACTTTTGCTGTGGTAGATATACTTTTACTTAAGTAACAAAATTCAGTACTTTTTCCTTTGCTTATGTTTGGGACAGACTGTTGTGTGGAGCTGTGTGCTGTCTGTACCTCTCCTGCCATCGTCAGCTCCTGCATTTCACCAGAACTCAGCCCATCTTGGTCAGAATGCTAACGACAGAGTGAGTGCTCCTGTCTCTCCACACGCGTCTTTGGATGAGTCATAAGTACTGGGGCAAAAAAACACGAAAACTCTGAGAGAATGGGGTTTGTGAGGACAGAATGAGAAGTAGCTATGCAACTGATACTTTGCAGCTGATGTGATGCCACCTATAGGCTCTGCTCTGTCTAAAACTCTGTTACTCAAGTTAGACTTCAATCTGAGCTTTATTCTAACACAGTCTATCTGGAAAGTACTGACCTAGTTGGAACTACAACAGGTGACATGATCTGCACTGGTAAACACTTCTCTCACATTTATAATTACAGTCACAACCATGGAACATTCCAGGCAGCGGACACTCCACCGGAAAAGTTACGCAGTGCACCTTTAAACTTAATATCTAGCTATTAATTCAAGGAACGTCTGTCTGTGTGTTTGTTTGTTTGTCTGTTCCATGCATAACTGTCGAGCATATTCGGAGGGTGTCATCTTAATGGTACATGTGCGTGCAGTGCCAATTTTCATGTTGTTACGACAAAAAAATGCCAAAGACCTGGTTTAATCAAATTGTGTGTTTGTGCATTCGATTCACACAAAATATTTCATTTATTTAACAGGACATTGTTCAGCCACATAGTGAAAGGGCAAAGATGCAGGTACCAGATTCTAGTCCAGGAAGCTGAGCTCTATCTGCTATTCTTAAAAACAATGGGAGAAGAGGTGGGGGGCACATTGCATTATTTACAGTGGAACAACACTCATACATTCCAAAACATACTTCCTGTCAGTTAGAAGAAATAGCACCATAGCATACAGGAACAAGATGTGTAAAGTGTCTCGCTTAGGGACACATCAACAATTGCATAGCTGACTAATGGACCCAGTAGTCACTTTATAAATATTGAGTTTGGATTATGTTTTGCCTAATCCAAACTCTAGTCTACACTCTAAAGAGCACCAACACTGTAGAAGTGGAAGCTCTATGACTGTGTATAACTGCACTAATAATATTTTTGCTTCTATCTTCTCTAGAGCTGGGAATCACAGGGTCACTCACAAACATGGCTCACGATACGATAACATCATGATATGCTATAAATCAATATATTACACATTAAACGCACTACTAGCAAGAATATTTCTTAGTTAAACCACTACTTGTGTAAAGTTCATATGAGATACATCTATTTTAATCATCAAGATTAAAATCCCTCAGTCGTCCAGATAGAATCCATGGCAAAAGGAGAAATTAAATTTGTCAACTGGACAAAAGTTTATTTGGCTGAATACATTTCGCAGCTCATCCAAGCTGCTTCTTCAGTTGGATGAGCTACAAAAGGTATTTGACCAAATACATTTTTGTCCGGTTGACAAATTGAATCTTTCCTTTTGCCATTAAGACAGTGAATTTGTCAAGTGGATTTCATAAACAAGCTTTCCTAGACTAAATAAGCAACAAAATTGTAGTGTGGTTGCAAAAAAATGCTAAAAGATACCAAAAAATACTCTTGGTGATATATATAGATACAGCAGCCCACAATAACAATATTGTATCACAAAATTTAGTATCACTATAATATCAATATTTTTGTACACCCCTTGTATTCACTGTTTACATAGGAAAGTGCTGTACTCTGCTGTGGTGGGCTTCTTCCTGGCCTGTGTGACCTTCCCTCACTCTGTTGGACAGTTCATGGCCTCTAAGGTAACTCTCATCTCCAACCCTATATTTATATTAAACCTCTGAACAACACTGAGAAGCACCAATGAATAATAATCTGACTGACTGAGGGTTTGAAATTGCTCAGTAATAGTATAGCATCCATGGAAATGATTTCCCACTTTTCCACTACACAAAAATCCTATTACTTGAACCGGCACTTTGTATGTAAATGTATGTATTTACTTCTTTCTAAAACAGTACAGACAAGTATACAGTCCAGCGGTATATTACTGATATATCCTATAGTCAAAAGTTTAGACCTTTCATTTAGTGTTTTTTTTTTCTTTATGTTTACTCATTTCTAATTTGATATACATACAGAAGACATCAGATATATGAAGTAAAATGTATGGAATATGTTAAGTGCTATTTAAACATACATTACCAGTCAAGAAATTGGACACACTATCTCATTCAGTGTTTTGTTTCTTTCTCTTACCATTTTCTGAATTTCATATACATACAGAAGACATCAAATAAATGAAGCACAATATCTGGAATTATTTAGTGAAGAAAAAAAGTTTAATAAATCAGCTAAATATTTTTTGACAAAGCAAAAGGATCTTGCTTTAGATTATATTTTTTAATATTATATTTGTGTTGTCTTCTGTATGTATATAAAATGCAGAAAGTAGTAAATAGAAAAATAAAAAGCACTGAATGAGAGGTTGAGTCTAAACTGTTGAGTGGTAGTATAGGCTACATTTGCATATTGTATAATAAGAGTAGAAGTCATTTGCTCTCTGCGGTGTAAACCTTGTGTGATTTCGCTGTTTAAATAGGCGTCGTGTTTGCTGTTAGGTCAGGTAATTAGTGCTGAGGTCCCAGTTCTCAATCTCTCTTTCTCCAATAGCTCACAGATGGTGTTCATATTGGAAACAGCATCAAAAACAGACTGAATTTCTGCTCAATTTTCGTAAAGCAGAGCAGTTGGCAGAGACACGCACTGACAGACGATGATTTAGCTGTTTTACACTCAGCAACTCATTCCCAGACTTTTTTTTTTTTTGATATTTCAAGATGCTCAGTAAGGACTAATATCTCTGTACTGGTATGATTCTCACAGATGTACTGCTCCATTTGAGATGTATGGATGACAAAAAAGCTAAATAAAAACACCAGGATCATATAGAGTGGGTTATACTGACATTTTAAGACCAAAATGACGAGTCTCACTGCAGCAGTTACAGAGAGAGTTGTGACAATTTTTATGGAGCTGGAAACACTGCCATGTTCACTTCCTATTTGGAGCTATGGATGTATCATTTGTTTTGTTTACACTTTATGGTGGAAGGTCATTTCATTCCATCGCTGAGTCTGAATGCAGGGCTTCTTCCCTGTAAGACTCAATTTTCCTTCTCAGTTTGGCATGAAATTGCATTTGCATCTGTCTGCTGTTCTGTCCTCCTATAGCAGCACAGGGTACACACACACAACTAGTCTAGTGACCATTCTATATAGGAGAGACATCCACTCTGAGCACAATAATCCAAATATTATCACCACTTGAATTGTCTCACAGTCTGTAGAATATAGTATGTGCTGAACAAGACTGTGCATCATTGGATTTTTAAGGAGGAAAAGGGAAACATATGGTAAAATTTACTCAAGTAACTTTCTAAAGGCTAGTTTCACACCATACTTTTTATTTGTATTGATTTTTTCAGTATTAGTTTTGGTGACTGACTTGAATATTCACTGCACTCATTAAAATATTACACAAGTGGTATACATAGACAAGTGTTTCCCAAACTTTTTTTCTGGGGACCTATATTTTAAAAGTCACAAACCTTCAAGACGCGGCCAATAGACATTATTCGTAAATACAAAATAAAGGTGGATTTGACCATTATTGAACATTAATGAGGATATCTTATTATTGACTGAGTGATCATGTCTCTCTTATTACTCAAGTTTTAAACAATGAAAACCAGTCATTGAACCAGCAATAAAAGGGATCCATAAGCCGCCTATTTGGACATTAAATGTAATCTATTTCTTTTTCTTTTCAACATTCAATTGAACAAAATATTCAATAAAATAATGACTAAAATATTAGAAATCATACAAACATGTCTTAACATTTCAACATGTGTCAGAATTGTATGTTGCAGACCTACATGTAGATCGTGACAAGGCGACCCCAAAAAAATCTACTGCGACCCGCCTGAGGGCACAACCCAGTCTTTGGGAAACAATGACATAGATACTTACTTTCCCCCATAGATTTCCCATAGACTGTACATATAAATGGACATAGCTAACCCTCTAGCTGCTGTATTCCAAATAGGAAGTGAGCATGGGGGCGCTTCCTGCTCCATCTAACTTTACATTGAAAAATTTTCGCCATTCTCTCCGTAACTGCTGCTGTGAGCCTCGTCATTTTGGTCTTAAAATGTTCATATTAACCCACTCTGTGTGATCCTGGTGTTTTTATTTGCTATTTTGTAAGTAAATAAATTACTATTCCTAATATGGACCTGCCATTGTTCAGAGAGACATGATCACTCAGTCAACAACAAAATATCCTCATTAATGTTCAATAATGGTCAAATCCACCTTTATTTTGTGATTTACAAATAATGTCTATTGGCTTGGGTCTGTGACTTTTAAAATATGGGTCCCCAAAGTTTAGGAAACACTTTTCTGTGGGATATACACGACTGGCATGGTGAGAGTTGTGTATAGGAGAGACATCCACTCTGCTCACGATAATCCAAATATTATCTCTACTTGGACTGTGTCACAGTCTGTAGAATATACTCTGTGCTGTCCTCCATGCTGAACAAGACCTGGCTGTGCACATCACTGGATTTTTATCAGACAGCCATATGGAGGGAAAGGGAAACATATGGTAGTTTTTACTTAGGTAGCTTTTTGAAGGGTATTTTCACACCATATTCTTTACTTGTACCTACCTATATTGGGCCTATATTGTACCTATACTTTCCTCATTAAAAAAACACACAACACACAAACCCTGCACAGTTAAGATGAGTTTTTAGGATTGCAAACTTGTGTGAATGAAACAAAACACAACTCCAGGTATGTTTTTGATGAAGTAACAGCATTATAATATATGGTTTAAAGCTTACATGAATCATTTTTGTGTAATGTAGGACCTATAGGATCAATGAGGCTGGATGTAAAAGGGGAAAACGTAACAAAATGAATAATAAGATGTACATCATCTCAGTTGTATTATTCCATCATTAGCCTGTCTTGCTGTTTTTCTCAGTGCACAATGAAGCAGCTCCTCACCTCTCTCCTTCAAGCTGAGTCATGGCTGTCCCCATCCCAAAATGCAACAGTGCTGGAGTCGGCACCTTGTATGGAGTGGACCTCTTCAATGCTCCCTGTACCTCTGCCTCTGCTCATCTTCCTGCTCCTCAAAGTACATGTCTCATTATGCTACTACATCTAGGACATAACATCAGTACATACTCTGAAATAATTGACATTTTTACAGGTCCTATATGACACAAAATTAATTCTTGTGAGCTTTAAAAAATGTTATAATTTTGTTACCTCATCAAAAACATACATGGAATTGTATTTTGTTTCATTTCCACATCTAGTAAATATGGAGGTGTACACGTTACATGTCTACATCTCCAAAGCTCAAAATGCTCTGTTCCACCTTGTTATGTAGTGGTAGTTTTCAAGTTTACTACGATCTTTTACTTTTATTTCAGTAGAGATTGGCGATTCCAGGGCTGAAATCATCCAAATGATTCTAGTGAAGGTGTATGGAGTTTTAAAATGCAATGGAGCACTTCCTGTATTACCTCATGACATCACAAGGTGGGACAGAGTGTTTTCAGTTTGAGAGAAGAGAGCCTAAATATACAATGTTAATATAATCTGTGTGTTGATCTGTGTGTTAAATATGTGTGAATGAAACAAAACACAAACACGTGTCCCTGTGACCTTACACCTGTCTTCCAATCTCACCTGTCCTCCTGTCTCACCTATATCTTTCTCACCTGTCTTGGTTCTCTTTGTTTTTGACGAGGAAACAGCATTATAACATAGATCAGAAACAATGTTGTGTGGGCCCTTTAATAATAATAGGAGATGAAATGTTTTGCCTGCTCCAAAACCTCCACAGCCTACTAAAGGGCTCATACTTGCTTTCGAAAAAAAAGAAAAATCCATCTCTGCTTTTATTCTCCATTTTGAGCCAATACATGATACAAGATAATGCCGTCTACATACATAATACAAGTGTGTGCATTTGGATAAGCTGTTTCACATGGCGAGGAGCTGATAAGATATGCAAATGAACTGGGCTTTTGTGGTGTTTATATGAGTAGTGTAAACAGTCACTAAACACTGGTTATTTTGCTCTGTGCAGTTGTGGATGCTGCTGCTGGCCTGTACCCTGCCCATACCAGCGGGATACTTCATGCCGGTCTTCATTTATGGTACCAGGTTTGTGAGATTGGATGGTCTTTTAGATGGAGTATAAAGTGAGCTCTGTGTTTTGTTGTTACAGGGGCAGCAGGGGGAAGGCTGCTTGGAGAAAGTCTAGCCTATGTGACATCAGGTTTAAACTGGACTGCAGTGAATCCAGGAGGCTACGCTCTGGCAGGTACCTTATACACTCATAAATAATATGCTTTACAGTCTAAGCTGTCATCATGTGGGGACATGTGGGCGCACGTCTATAAGCGCCACCATGATAGAATATAATTTAAGTGTCAGCGTACAAAGTATTTAATGCTTACACACAATGTCAAAGCTCAAATGGTCGAAGATGACACTGTCTTGTGAAATTATAAGGTTTAAATACAACAGAGATCACCCTTAAGTGCACGTCACTGTAATTATTACTATGTTTGCCGAGACTGTGGTAAATATTTATAGTTTTAAATCAGTCAGTCAAAAGAAAAGAAGAAAATTAGAGGAAGTCTGACTGCATAATTAAACTTTGATGATTAGGATCAAACACAATACTTGTCTACAGCCACAGAACACATAATAGACACGTTTAAAGAGTAAAACGAGTTAAATAAAAAAGATACCAAATCAGCCAATGGTCAGACAATCTGCTGTCCAACCAAGCTAAAATTGTCTTTTTTTTTTTTTTATAAACTAGTGAAATAGCAAAATTCACTTTACTCTTCAGTAATTCTGGAGTCTATTCAAATCCGCTATTCACTTAAACTATAAAAAACTGCTTATTTAATACCTGTGTCCCTAGGGTGCTGCAGCGTTCTCTGGAGCGTGCACTCAGAGTCTGTCTCCCGCCCTCTTGGCCCTGGAGCTGACAGGGCAACTCTCTCACATCAGGCCCATCTTTGTCTCCATTCTGATTGAAAAATCACAGGCTTTAAATACAGTAGAGGTCACCCTTATATGCATGTCACACTATTACTATGCTGGGATTGTACTTGTGGTAAAAATGTATAGTTGTACACCAGTCAAGTCAGTCAAGTGGCAATTTGTGAAGAAATGTTGGGGAAAAGTAGAAAATAACAGGAAGTAGCGCTGAGTTCAAAAAAAGAATCTGTCTGTGTCATCAAAACACAAAATTATGCCCAAAATGCTGGAGCAATTTATGCACAAGGAACATGATTTATTGACAGTTTAAAGACTAACTATTGTGTAAATTTGTTTTGATTTACAGTGTGGTTGCAGGTAACAGTTATATAAATATGTACAGTATGTCATGCCATGTGCTGTATGCTGCATGCCTAACCATGTTGTAAAATGATCAAACAAAAAAAAGTCAAGAATTTTAGTATAATACTACAATAAATACAATTACTACTTTTTTTAGTAGAAACCTATCATAAGCGCTTCACTAGCAGTCTTCAGTAATTGTGTTAAAATGCCTTGACAAGACTTAACCCAAAGAATTAATATTTAAAAGTGCTTTTAATTGTTATTTCTTCATGTAGTCTGCACTGAAATGAAGCAAAGGATCATGGTCTATGTAGTTCCCTCTGCTTTTTAACTATTCATTTAAGCGTAAAGACTTGTAATTCGATGTATTCTGATGGTCGACGATATTACTGTGAGACTTTTGACAATGCAATATTTAATTTATTGTTACATCCCTACTATTCAGTTAAAACTATTAAAAAAACACTTATTTAAAACCTGTGTCCCTTAGGTGCTGCAGCGTTCTCTGGAGCGTGCACTCAAAGTCTGTCTCCTGCCCTCTTGGCCCTGGAGCTGACAGGACAGCTCTCTCACATCGGACCCATCTTTGTCTCCACGCTCATCGCCAACATGGTGACTCGGGCGGGGAGGCGGCCATCTTTTTACGATAATCTGACCATTAGCAAGAGACTGCCTCACCTCCCCTCGCTAAAGAAGGTCTGTCCCAGGTACTGCTATGCCCCTGAAATACATTTTTGATATAATCTATGGTACTTAAATCACATACTCTACCAGTTTTTGTTTTTTTTAATACTTTTACTAATGTCTACAGTTCATATACATACAGAAGACATCAAATATATGAAGTGAGATGTATTGAATTATGTAGCAATGATAAAAAGTTAAATACCTACTATAAAAAAATATTATTGTAACCAAAACTCAAATTAAAAACTTTCTTTTATAATTCCATACATTTTATTACATGTATTTGATGTCTTCTCTATCAAATGTCAAAAGTAGCAAACATACATATATATTTAAAAGAAAATTAATGAGTGGGTGAGTCCAAACTTTCAACTAGTAGTGTCTAAAAACATAACTAAAAGAGCCCTCAGAACCACTAAAGAGGTCTGAGTACCTAACAAGACCCCATGACAGCTGCAGAAGAATTAGCATTAGTTAGTGGAAAATGAGAATGGTTTTCATCAGAAAGCCTGTGCTCATTTGTTAGTCCCACAATAATCTGTGCATAATCCATGCAGTAAGGAGAATAAATGAGAATAGATTTGACTTCTTTTGAGCATGTTACTGTTCTTTGCTGAAGAGGCATTTCAGTTTTCTACATTTACATAGGTGTTACTTGAATGGTGAGTTAAATTTTATTAATAAATTACTAAGTACTGACCCGAAGGATGGAAGATCAGTTCCGATCACAGTGTGTCCTTAGGAAAGACACTTCGCCCTAGCCTGTTTCATCAGTTAGTTTCACTTCTGTCTGACCTCGCAGCATTAGGATTCGTTCGCTCGATGGTAGGCGGGTTCTTTTTTTATTTAACCAGTCGCTGCTATTTGGTCGTGATGTCTGTAATGCGATGGAATGCTTCGGTGGTGTCCAAGTAATTGCAGGCACAACAGCAAACAAAGCAGAGAGTGAACATGTCTGTCAACGATCATTGTTGTTTCTGCGAAATGAACTTGCAAATTAAAGGTGCAAAAAAAAATGCAAAGTTTGTATTTGACAAAGGAAGTCCAAAGGAAGATAGCATCTGCAGTCTGCTATTGCAACTCAGGTTGGTTCAGTTCTTCACTGATTGCCGGTGCACGGTCTACAACTTCCAGGGTTCTTGCAAACTGTCTAGTGTATTCCGATTCCTGACCTAGTTACTGGAGAGAAATGAAATTGAGCAGAGGCACTAGGTGACGCCAGCCTGGCTAACTTCATCCACCTTATGTAGTATGAAAGTAATGTGTGCGTCAGTGAAGTGTAAGTTATTAATAATCTTTAATCTATTTTTATCTTGTTAAAAATGTAATACTTCCCCATTGTTTAAAGAATAGTAACCTATCTTCTACAAAAGAAAAGCAGAATGTCTGAATGTAATAACTATCTAGTATTTGACCACAACCTTTTATAGTAACATAAAAGCTTAATGCATCAATCGTCCTACCACTTTCTTCTTGCTCCATTCACACTCCTGCTGCTCTACTCTGTCTATCTGTGCTGTACATGTGTGTGAATGCCTTATGTCCATGTGGCTGTGCATAGGCCTGTCATCATAGTTACTACATCTTATCATTCAATATATGAAAGATGGAACAATATTTTGGGGGGTCAGTATTTATCGTGGGTACTTTTTCCATGCACTACTGGGAAATTTTTGGTAATTTTGTGACTACACAATAATATTTAAGCGATAAAAGTTTGAATTATAACTTCTATGACTCATAACAGATGCAAACTAAGTAAGTACTAATAAGTGCTTCATTCTACTGTTTATTTATATATATATATATATATATATATATATATATATATATATATATATATATATATATATATATATATATATTTTTAAACAATATTGTGCATTTAAAATGTTTTTTGTAGTTTAAATCTGCTCGTGGATTGTTGTGTCAATGGCTTAAACTTTTTGGTTGGGGGTCCGTCACCTGCTTGTTTCTGTAGATATATTATCGCTCTGTCTGGAATGTTCCATAGTATGACTTTAAACAGTTCTGCCTTACATTACAGGTGGTTTTTTATTGCTCACAAAAGATAGAAGAAGCTTTCTGATTGTGAGCGGGTTGCCTCGTTTGTCATCTATAATTTTTGAAGCAATATTTCGTACTTCAAAATGTGTTATTGTGACAGGCCTAGGCTAACCTGATTCATCAGCTGGTTTCACTTCGTGGAAACCGTCTGGCCGCACAGCATTAGGATTTGTTTGCTCGACGGTAGGCGGGTACTGTATTCAACCAATCGCTGTTATTTGGTCGTGATGTATGTAATGCGCCGCTAACAGGGGCTAACTGGTATATTAAGCTTTTCCCAAATCCCATAGGAAGAAGGGCAATAACGTCTTCCCCCTTGATAAAATTCCCCAGACATTCTCATTGTTCCGGCTTTAAATCCTTGATCTCAGGAATTGTTGTCAACACAGAATGTATGGGTTTGTCTACATCCATCTCGACCGCTTTGTTTACTGGTTGTGCTGCACCACAAAAAGGGAACCAATCACGGCTTCACAGCTCTTCGCTGATTGGCCGGTGTGCGGTCTACAACTTCCAGGGTTTTTGCAAACTGTCTAGTGTATTCTGATTTCTGACCTAGTTGCTGGAGAGAAATTGAGCGGAGGTACTAGGTGGGCACGTTGGATAAAAGTGTTATGTTCATAATTCTGGCAATGAAACAGTTTAGCAGCTATTATCAGTGGAGATAAGTCAGCATGATAAGATTGTACGCTAGACAGAGAAGGAATCCCTAGGGGGCGCCGATGAGTCCATAAGGGAGCATTACTATCACTCAAGCTCTTCATAAGTACCAGTTTTATCTATGGACTCTAGTGTATTAAAACCACACACACGTAGTTCAAAATCGTGGACGTTTGTTTTTATGAAAATGTCCCACAGCAGCAGTCTTCAGAAAAAGCACCGGCAGGTCTTTTGTGGAAATTGCCCCGTCTCGACTTGGAGCGAGAGAAATTACAGAGGAATAAATAAAGGGTAAACATAGAGCACTTGATAGTCGTAAACAACTTTCGCAATTCTGAATCTATATCCTCTCCCTGAAAGTCAGAGAAGATCAGAGGGAAGTCAAACTGTGAGCCTATTTTATTATTCAATGAAACACATTTAGTGCAATTGAATAATCCTCAAACTGGTCTGGCTAATACTTTGTTGTGGAATAGATTGGTAGAGTAAATAGGCTTTATCTTGTGTGGATTGATCAAAAAATTTCTTATGTTACAATAAATATTTCATCATCTTTGGTCACAGAAACACACATCTGCTTCACTCTTTCAGCTCTCTCAAAAGCCGAACAAGTATTTCACCTGTATCTCACCTTTCTTTCACCTGTCTCACTCTCACCTGTCTCACAAACCTGTATTTAACTTTCCTTCACTCCACACTCTCACATATCTCTCAACTCTAACCTCATAACCTCACACTTACTACTGTCAGAACTTTTGACAAAGGTTTTGGTCTAATCAATTTCAGAAGGCATGATTGACAGGTGGATTAACCAATCAGAGAAGCATAAAAGACAAACATGCTGCTTACATGTAAAAAAGGACAAAAAGCTAAATAAGGAGCTGAGAAATAGCACAGATTTTTACAGAATCAAACAATAGTCGAAGTTATATGTTTAGTTATGAATTATACGAGAATTTTGGAGAGGAGATTTTAAGGCACGTCCTTACACCTGTCTCACAATCTCACCTGTCTCATATTTTCACTTGTCTCACATTCTCACCTGTCGCACACTGTCACCTGTCTCATAATCCCACATGTCTCACATTCTCACCTGTCTCACATTCTCATCTGTCCCCCCGATTTTACACCTGTGTCACAGTCTCACCTGTCTCATAGTCTCACATGTCTCACAATCTCGCCTGTCCCCTTGACCATACACCTGTCTTCCAGTTTCACCTGTCCCCCTGACCTTACACCTGTCTCACAATGTCACCTGTCCCCCTGATTTTACACCTGTCTCAGAATCTCACATGTCCTCCAGTCTCATCTGTATCTTTCCCACACCTGTTTTCACCTGCCTCGGTTCTCTTTGTTTTTCCCCCTGACGTGCACCTGTCTCACGCCCCCTGCCTTGTGTCCATGTGTTAGCCTGGCGCACCTGCCTCTTGGACAGCTGCTGAGGGCCCCGTCAGTGCTGGTCCAGAAGGCATCCGGACAGGCGGAGGTCCAGACTGCTGTCAGCACCAGCGCTCAGCCTCATGTCCCTGTGGTGGAGTCTGACGGTGAGGGGCTTTTGTTTGATTACACACAGCACTCGAGGAGAGACTGGACCAGGCTGACAGACAATTCAGACAAGCTTTCACAAATTGATGCATACTTTTTTTTTTTTTTACTTGAAAATCACTGTCTACTTTAACCAAATGATATACTTTTGACGCCTTGGAAAGTTAAAGGTCCCATATTACACAAAATTGACTCTTGTGAGCTTTAACACATGTTATCATGCTGTTACCTCATCAAAAAAGTTGTGTTTTGTTTCATTCACACATGTTTGATTAATCTTGGTTTGGTTTGTCTACTTCTTCAAAAATGTTGTGTTCCACCTTGTGATATCATGAAGAGGTCAAATATATCACCATGTTTAACCAAATAACATTTTTTTTTCATATATATTGAGGGGTTTAACTCTTGGTTTAACTCTTTAACACTTGACTTCGAATTTCAGATGAACTGTCTGAGATGAATTCATATGTATAGTGAGTGTACAGTGAGTGTGTTGTTGTATGTATAGTGAGTGTGCTGATTTTATGTACTTTTGTGTGATTGTTGCTGTAGTTTTCCCTGTCCTGTAGATGATTTCACATCAACCTGCTGAGGGACTGAAGATTGAAATTAGCCACATTGGCTATAATCTTTACATATTTATATTTTAAATGTTCATTAATATATACTGTCCCTTTACAAATAAATAAATAAGAAATAAATAAGGTAGTTTTCAAGTTAACAACTACATTTTACCTTTAGTTGAGTAGAGATGGGCAATTCCAGGACTGAAATCATCCAGAAGATTTTACTAAAAGTGTGTGGAGTTTAAAAACACAGTAGAGCACTTCTTGTTTTGCCACATGACACAACAAAGTGGAACAGAGTGTTTTCTGTTTAAGAACTTCGCCTAAATAAGCAGGGTTTGTTTGTTAAAAATGTGTGAATGAAACAAAACACAACTCCAGGCATGTTTATGATGAAGAAACATTACAGCATAACATAGATTGAAAAACAATGTAATTTATGCCATTTAAAATGAAAAGGAAAAGAAAACTTACAAGTAGCACGGTGCAGCTCAGTGTTCAAAATACCAACAATCAGTGGAGGAATTGTTATCCCAGGTATTATAGAGGGCAACTGAAAGATTATTGTCCCATTCTTCTAGTCCACCTCTTCTGAAAAGCTCAAACAGCCCCACAGACAGTCTCCTCTATCGAACATGTTTCTTAATAGCTGAGCCGATGGTCCTCACAGAGACATCCAGTCTGCACACACTATTACACTGCATCAGAGGGAAAATAATGACAGAAATTAGGAAAATTGTTCTCCATTTTGAAAAACCTCAGCAATCGCGCACAGAGAGAAAGGAGCAGACGAGGAGTGGGTGAGGCAGCAGAGATAAAGGTGCATTCTGTAACTTCTTTATGGAGGTGTTATTGCTTTGTCTGGAATGTTTCACAGTATGACATTAAACCTTTCTATCTTCACCAAACCAGACCAAGGCTATGTTTATATGATGATGTCTGAACAGAAGACGCAAAAGTGGCATTGCATTTTCAAATTTTTATTTCGTGTTTAGATTAGCGTTTTTGGGGGGGAAATCTGCGTGCATATGGTGACGCAAAAGTGTGTGGAATTCGATTGAGTATGCATGTCAGGTGGCTAGGTGGTGATGCTCGGTGGTGAGGTATGTGACATAATGCCTATGCGACGTGAGCAGATCTGACCATAGTTTTGCGTCTTGGACAGTGTAGATGGAAACGCTATGGCGTATTCAACTTAATTTTCCACCCTGGAGGGTGGTTTCAGATTTTTGCCTTTTTAAGCCCCAAAAAAGCCACCACTGTCGAACGAAAAGCACTTCTGATAAAATATTTTATAGTTTTTACCCGAAAGAGTTCTTGTGTAAACAGACCCCAAGTTGCAGGTCAGATCTGTGGAGAGGCAACCCTGCTCACAGTCAGAACGCCTGTTTTTTGTTTAGGTATTTTTAGCAGTAAAACCACCTGTAATTGAATAAATGTAAGGTAGAGCTGTTTAATGCCATACTGTGGAACATTCCAGGGAGAGCAATGGCATGTCCTTAGAAACAAGCAGGTGGTGGACCAAAAGGTTACACAGTACACCTTTAGTTGCACATTGGAAACTCACCTGTCTTTGTTGTGTTGTAGAGACTCTGTATTTAGTTGGATACGTGACCCGCACCGAGCTGCTGGAGTTTATCAACCAAGACCAGGTAAAGGTCACTGAACGTATAAATAAAAAACAGAGGAGACGAGTGATAAATGATTAACACTTGTAATAAATATAGCTTCAACATAGAGGCAGCTGTCATGTCAAGTGTCATGCCGTGAAATACGATGACACTTGAATGTGTTTCACCTTCTCAGAATCTGGGGAGATGTGTGGAAGAGGTCTGCTGCGTTCACTGTCCCTCCGTCCTCTTGTCATCTCACAGCACTCTTCAGCAGGTAGGACTGAAGTACTAGTTTACGTATCTGTAACTTTTTGATTGGGGGTCCTTCACCTGCTTGTTTCTATGGATATGTCATTGTTCTGCTTGGAATTTTCCACAGTATGGCATTAAATGGCTCTACCTTATATTTATTCAATTACTAGTGGTTTTATAGCTCAAAAATACCCAGAAAAACAGGCATTCTGACCTGTGACTTGGTCTTGCTTGGTCTCCATGAAGATAGAAAGGTTTAATCCTATACTGTGAAACATTCCAGACAAAGCAATAACATCAGAATTTTAAATTTGATACTTTTTACTTTTACTTCACTACATTTGAGAGCAGATATCTGTACTTTTTTACTCTACTACATTTTTGAACAGAACTGAAAAGTAAAATTATGTTTTATTTTTGTGTGAGACTTCTTAAAAAGACTGAGGTTTATTTTTAACTTAACTTTAATCTTTTTTTGAGCAAACAAAAACAGCTAGGAAAAAAAAAACGGATTGATCAATTTTTTTCTATTGAACTAAATTCAGCACAAATCCGTATCAAAATCACTGCATTTGAAGATTATTTTTAATTTTTTAAACTTTACTTTTTACTCTTTAAGTACATTTTTAAACAAGTAATTAATGCTTTCATGTGATACTTTTACTTGAGTCTTTTGTTGTACTCCAGTATTTGTACTTGAGTAACAAAATTGAGTATTTCTTCCACCACTGCTTTTTACATAATTTATGTAAGTGCGCTAGAGTTTGGTAACACTCATATTTGAGTTGTTTTGGCTTACATAACACTTATACTTTACCTTGACCTTTTGACCTTGACACTGTACCTGATTTTTACCGTCTTAAGAACGTGTTGCAGTAGTTCAAAGTTATTCCTCGTTTACCTTATTATGCATTCAAAAAATTTTAATAAGTCACAGCTTTTCACAACTTTCAGACAGAGCAAAGTTTTGCCTTCATTCTAAATCTAACAACAACTGACATACTAATTGTGCACTTCCTGATACTCGGACAACAAAACCCTTTATAAATGGATGCAAACAGTACACAATGCACTTATTCTGACCTCAAGAACTGCTTATACAATTTATCTGTACTGGGTAAGTTGAAATCTGCTCTAATAAATAGGAAAAAATCAGGTTCAGGCCCTTTAATTAAAGTACTTTAGTAGAAGATGCAGAGTAAAACAGGATCATGTCAGCTAAAAATTTGTACTAAAGGGTCTAATTAGTGCATTAGCATAGTGTAATGTAACGTGTAATGTGTTTATAATTGTGGGACGCTGAAAGACAGTATGCAAATTGTGTTTTGTAAGGTTAATTGAAGTCATTTTTTGAGCCTGAATTCAGCAGTGATTGAGTTCTTTGTAACCTTGTGTGTGGTTCCTGTTGATGATGAGACATGCTGCTGCTCTCAAAGTCTGTCTCAGAGTTTCAGCAGTAAACACTTTGTCAAAGCCTCTTCAAGTCTTACATCAGCATTACCTTAAAGTTGCACTGTGTAATTCTTCTGGTAGTGGCTCCATCACCTGTTTCTCTCCATGGAAATGTTGCCTGGAATGTTACATAGTATGGCATTACACTTATTTATCTCTATGGAGACAGAAGGTGATACCATAGGGCCAAGTTATAGGTTAGATCTTTGGAGAGGTGAGCTCACTCACAGTAAGTAATGAATATAAATGAGTAAGAATGTTACATTTTTAAGTTAATAAAAACCCATGTTACTGAGTAAATAGAAGATGGATACATTTAATGCCATATACCGGGACGTTCCAGACAAAGCAACATCTCCACAAGAAAGGTTACACAGTGCCTGTACATCTTTGTTTTATTCATGTAACTATATCAGGGTGTCAGTGTCAAACTCAAATTCACAGAGGGCCAAAATTAAAAACTGGGACTAAGTCGTGGGCCAAACTAAATATTTATTGAAAATTTTCCACAACATCTGCCTGTTTTCTCTTCTTTCGATAGGTAATGTTAAACCCTTTCTTATTAAAATAAATGTTTAATAATAGTTTTGCTTAAACATTGATTTCAGAAAAAGCATATTATAAAATAATAACAAAGTTTTAAATAAATAATGTCTCTATAGCCTATCTGTAGCTGGCGGGCAGCTCTAATACATATTTGATATGATCTCGTGGGCCAAATATAATTATATCGTGGGACAGATTGGCTCCCGGGCCTGAGTTTGACACGTCTGAACTATATAAACCATGATCTGATAAAATGCGGTGATATGTGCAAGAGCTCATGTTACCCTATAATGCTGTTTCCTCATCAAAAATTTACCCAGAGTTTTGTTTTTTTCATTCACACATGTTTAACTTACAAATCCTGCAGATTTAAGCTAAATTCTTCTCTCAAACTCTGTTCCACCTTGTGATGTCATGTGGTAATACAAGAAGTGCTCCACTGTGTTTTTTAACTCCTCGCACCTTCACTAAAATCATTTGGATAATTTCAGCACTGGAATTAACAATCTCTATTGAACTAAAGGTAAAAGGTCCAATGAGGTTAATTTGGTCTTCTGATAATTTATGTTATTAGGTTCTTTTTTTCAGACCCAGAGTTTGTTTTCATACCTGACAGTTTTGACTGCTCACTAACGGTCTTCCTAAGGGGGGAAAACAGGGAGAGCATTCAATAAATGAAAAAAGGAACATAGGACAGAATGCGAGAAGGAAACAGTGAAGGCAAAACACGAGCAACAAAACAGAACAGGAACAACTCAAATCAGCCATTTCTGACCACTGTAAAAGAGAAAACCACATTAAGGACTGGGATGGAGCAAACATCGTTGGGACAGAGGAAAACAAACATCGTCGCTGGATTAAAGAAGGAATCGAAATACTGAAATGTGCCCACCGGACTATAAACCGGAACGAGGGGGCGTTTTTACTCTCACACACCTGGGATCCTGTCCTGAGGAAGTTGGACTGCAGATGGCGCTGTCGTCCTCCCTCCGCTAGCAGAAAAACAGTGCCAAAACCGGTTTAAATCAACTGACCAGACATGTCACAGCGACATTACATGACTCTGTGGAAGAGCGCGTGAGGAGTCGAAACTGTCAGGTATGAAAACAAACTCTTGGTCTGAAAAAATAACCTAATAACATAAAGGTAAAAGGAGCTTTTAACTTGAAAACTACCACTTCATGACATCACAAGGTGGAACAGATCAGTTTGAACTTTGGAGATATAGACAGACAAATAATACTCAATACTCAAACATGTGCGAATGAAACAAAACACAACTCCAGCAAGTTGGGATTTTGTGGACATAATCTTATTCCAACATGACTTAAAGCTCAAAAGTGTCAATTTTGCGCAACATAGGACCTTTACACACGCAGTAAATCTTCTGTTACCCTCTCAGACAATGCATTGACACGAGGGGGTTTCTACACATTTCTCCTCGGTTGCCTATGGAGATGTGGAGGATTAGACTGAAAATCCACTGTTTGTTTTGCTGCAGGCGTACAGAATCTTGAGTGTGAGCAGAGAACAGACCATGTTTGTGACTGACGCAGGAAAACTGAGAGGAGCTATAACATGGCCCGAGGTAAGGCTTATATATAATGTGAAAAATAATACTCAATATAATGATTAACAAGATATAAGTTTAGTATTACTTTTTTTTTTTGTTTTTCTTTATACTGTTTAATGTGCATATGACAGGTTTTGATGATTCTCTAATTTCTACTTGATTTGGTGCTATAATACCTGTTATAAATATATAAATTATACTTTTCCACCAATCGAGAAGCAATTTGAAACTTGAAAAATATATTGAAAACTACAAAAATTTAGGCACAATTTATACTTACAAAACACATTTTCTGATACTTTAAACCTGATTTTAACTAAATAAATGTGTGTTCTTATCATTTTATTTGTCAAATAATAATCTCTGTGTAGATTATAGGAGGCCCAGGCCCAGTGTAGACTATGGTTTCACTATGGTACAATACAAATAGCATTTATGGAGAGAACACTACTAGAATATGGAGTCAAAACTAGAGTATGAACATTCAGTACAACAGGAATTTATTATAAAAAGATGATGAGAAAAAGGTGATTACCATTTTTATAAACAAACAGGTTCATAAAAATGGGAACTAGTTTTGGAATGACTTTGCAAGCAATTAAAATGATCCGTATTCATTATTTAGGTACTTTTTGAGTGACGTTAGTGAGGTTCAAACAAAATACCTGCAAAGAATGTTTCTTTTATCATCAGCCGCATACTAATTCAAAACCTGGATGATTAAAATCAACAGAATGAATTGGCTACTGACCAGTGCACATGTTTTGTTGGTTTTAGCCAGTTGTTTACAGTGATGGGAAAAACACTTTGAAAATATATTTACTGAATACCTGCATTAAAATGTATTTTGTAATGAATTCTGACACATGGGCCAATCAGAGTGCTGTATTCTGAACACTTAGAATACTTAGGGTTACATTTAAATTACACTAAAGACACAACGTAGGATTAAAAACAGTTTTATGTTTGTTTGACTGGTATACATTTATTTATTGCTAATTAGAGAAATAATGTATTCCTTTGATTTTAGAAAAAATAAATTGTATTCTGAATACCATCAAATGAAAGAGTAAAACTGTACTGAAACCGTTACATAAAATTAGTATTCGGAATACGTATTCTATTTTTCACGTACTTCTTAAAGGTGCATTGTGCAACTTTTCTGGTGGTGGGTCCGTCGCCGGCTTGTCTCCATGGAGATGTTATTGCTTTGTCTGTTATGTTCTATGACAGTTGTCTCCAATCTTTTTCCTTTGGTGAGCTACTTATTTTAACAGTTGCAAGAAACTGAATATAAATAAGAGCCTTAGACATTATATGGCGAACAGTTAGATGCCTATAAAATATAAACCATTATCCATTTATTAGTGCATAAAGCTGGGCATCAAAATTATAGATATGATAAAATGATATGATTTACAATAGTAATTAATGAAATTCTACTAATTCAACCCAATACGTGTAATTCAGACATCCCTTGGCGAGCTACTCTGAAGGGGGTTGAGAGCTACTGGTAGCTCCCGAGCTACCGGTGGGAGACTCCTGTTCTATGGTATGACATTAAACACATCTATATTCCTATTTCTCAAAAGTACAATTCTCTCTGTGAATAGGGGCAACCCTCCACAGATCTGACCTACAGTGTATCTTATTGTTGTCTCCGTCTTTATAGATACTGTGGTACATTAGAAAAGAATGTTAGAATGAATGAATGCCACTATACACAATTTACACTATACCCATGCATAATGAGATTGAAAGCAACTCATTCTTTAGAACAGACATGTACATGGGATATTTGTAATGTAGTATAAAAGAGTATAAATGAAAGAATAGAATAAATAAGTAAGTATATAAGTACCATTGCAAAAAATAGAATGGGATGTGGCCGTGAGGTATTCAATACTGATTATATACACAGAGGCCCTATATACATAAGTTTATATACAGAATGATATTATTATACAGTTAGTTGTAACATTCTAGACAAAGCAATAACATCTCCATGAAGACAAGCAAGTGACGGACCCTCCACCAGAAAAGTTGATTACTGTGACGAGTGTTTATTGCTTGTACTACCTTCAGTCATGAAGAATATGTTTGCAGATATAGCCGGTACTTTTGAACTCATTGTTAACATCTTGCTTCTGTTTGCAGCTGAAGAGGATGCTGGAGGACTTGGCCACAGACATCTGAAGGCAGGAAATGAAGATGGTCCTCTGATCAAACGTGGGCTGTTCTGAGTCTAATTATCGTGTAGTGTAGTACCAGCAGCACATCCCTGTGAACAAAACAAACAAACCCCTCGTACCCCTTCATCATGACCTATTGTCTTCTGTTGCTGTTGTAATTATCAGGGCCTTGTTTCGGAGCAGATAAGCACTATATATATATATATATATCGCCCCATGGCTGCAGTTACATTAAGAGTGTACTCAGATAGAAGGTAAACAAACTTGCGTGACCAATTAGCCCAGTGGACCCTTTCTCTGTAATTACGCTCCTCCATATGGGACTCATGTAAAGAGATTAAAGGGCCCATATTACACTATTTTCAGATCTACTTTATGTTATAATGTTGTTTCCTCATCACAAACATATCTGGAGCTGTGTTTTGTTTCATTCACGCATGTTTAACACACAAATCCTGCATATTTAGGCTGAGTTTTTCTCTCAAACAGAAAACGTTCCACTTTGTGATGTCATGTGTTAATACAGGAAGTGCTCCACCATGTTTCAAACTCCATACACCTTCGCTAGAATCATTTGGATAATTTCAGCCCATCTCTACTCAACATAATGTAAAAGAAGAGCATTTTGAGGTTTGGATATGTGGACAGACTAATAATGCAAAATTACTCCAACATGCTTGAATGAAAGAAAACACAACTCCATGTATCTTAAATGAAGAAAAGAGGTAGAGTGCTTCACTGGGTCATGAAAGACCCAGTAGCAGTACAGGTGGGGGGAGGGTTAAAACTAGTCTTTAAACAGAAAGTTGCCCTTACTGGAAAATGTAAAAGTGGGTAAGGCACAAACCCAAGGCACTTTGACTGAACATATCAAAAGTCCTTTATTGGATGAAGGGACACCAACACGTTTCGACCAGCAAGATGGTCTTCGACAGGGCAAAGTCAACTCAAAAACAACTCCAGATATGTTTTTATAGGTAACAGCATTATAACATGTCTTAAAGCTCACAAGAGTAAATTTTGCGTAATATAGGAGCTTTAACATATTTATAATGTTTAATATTCTGTGAGGATGTGTTTAAAATGAAGAGCAGTGAGCTATAGACATATGTGTCAAGAATACAGAATTAATATGGAGATTATGTCCACTCTGGTGCCCCCAAGTGGTGGTGTTACACATACAAATATAGTCACGACTTGAGCACCAGGTTGACAGTGTGTGTAATCTACCGAATACTGGGTGTAATCCTGTCACGATAATTACTATGTCTACTTATTGTTAAATATACAGTATGAAAGCTGGAACTATATATTTTGGTCCCTATTTATTGTGGATACTTTGACGAGTGGTGAAATAGTGGTGCCATTTTGGCCATTTTAGGGTAGAGGGTAGAATAAATAAATTCTATGACTAATTATGGATTCATTTTGACATTTATTTCTAGCAGCTCAGGCTTTTTAATTATACAGTTTATTTAAAAATTGGTTTACTGAGATGGAATGATGTATTTTCAATATTATCGTTTATCTCCGTATCTCTCCGTCTTCGTCTTCGTCTCATGTGTTATTGTGAAAGGCTTAGCTGGGTGAATAATATAATAATATCCTTTTTATTTGGTTACTGCACATTTAAGATATAGAGAGAGTGAAAAGGACTCCTGTGTAAATATAGGCTTGTAGTTTTGTGTATTCCTCTGAGAGCGTGTGTCCCCTGCGGGTTTGGTTGACGTGTGGGCGTGTAGCGTCAGCTGTGACAGTAAATTGAAATAAACATATGGCTGATGACTGGTGTAGCAGAAGTGGATGAGTGCCCAAAGTCTGTTCGGTCTGAGAGAGCCAAGGACTCCTCATGTGCCTGTAAGACTACGCTCGGGTATGATTAGCACTCATTTACTGTTTATACATAAAACTATTCTACTAATGATTTTAATTAAACATGATCAAGTCATTAGTGATGTTTTTATTTATGTTTTATGTTGATACACGTGATCAGTTAAAGTGCAATAACATTCATTTTATGTTTCTGTAACTGAACAGAAATAAATAAATAGTGAAATGGATATCTGATTAATCAATGACTTTGCACAGTGGATAGTAGGGCTATGCTAAAATACTCCATATTAATTGAAATTTGGTAACACAGTATTGATACTGTGGGCTACTATAATGATATCGACAAGAGTTAGGGGTGTAACAGTACACAAAAATCACAGTTCAGTACATACCTCAGTTTTGAGGTCATGGTTCGGTTCATTTTCAGTACAGTATGGGAACAAAACTACTTGCTTGTTGTTTGTGTGTTTATTAAACCAACAATTTGTTTTAACATTATACAAACGGGAAAATAAAATAAATGCAAAGTGCTGCTTGGTAATGCTAATAAGTTAAATAAAATATTCTCAAATAAGCAACAAATGTATTAAATATTACAAAAATAAATTCCTTGTAAACAAAACTATTCAGAAAGTAAAGCACAGCATTAACTTGAAGTTTTACTCAATCTTCAAAAAGAAGGGCAAAAGTGAGGACTGGGGAACAACAACCGTAGTTTTGCGAAGAATCAAATGGTTCGAAGGGACGTAGTCAAAGTGGGGGGCAATTGTTGTCAAGGTGACTGCCCTAACCCCAATCACAGATGAGTTCCCTTGTGAATATTGAAGAGCCAAGTCTTCCGTGTACCTGCACATGTAGTGAAGGATTTTTGTGACAATATTGTATCATAGGCCATGTATCAAGTATAGAACTGTGAGCATCTTCCCTAGCCCTAATGGATAGGTTCAGAAACTCCTCCCTTTGTGGCTGAAGCAGGTTATGATAAAGCCCAGAGCACAAAGTCAGTTCCATTTGTTTATTTATCAGGGACAATGCTCATAAAAACATTGAGCTACACAAAGAAGTCATACGTTTGTGCTATCAAATTGAAAATGACTTCTGGATTTGAGCAGAAATGTGTCGATCACAGAAACAATGTTCAGATAAGAGACAGACCAAAATGTTTTTTTTTTCATGACCGTCGGCAATGCTGGTTGTTTAGAATCCAAAGCAACCTATAATCAATAAGCTCTGCCAATATTTTAGAGCCAAAAGTTAGGGGCAATTTTGATTATTTTCCTCAAATAATACATTTTAAATTTACCACAAACTCATCCACAGCCCCTTTTTTAAAAATTATTATTATCATTTTTTTTTACAACAAACCCATAGAGCTGTCACAGCCTTCAATGAAAGTGTTCAAACTAAACTTGATTTTATTTTTAGGCAGCAGATCCACCAAAACAAAATATCAGCTTCTGCTGGAGATTCAAAGCTGACAGCCAAAACACTAAAAAGTCCAAATATTTCTAGTCCAGATGACCACCGCTGAAACTGTCTCTATGTTCAGAAAGTAAAGTCAAAACACTTAGATAAGAGTTCATTTATTTCATGGAAATATCAGCCCAACAATAACACTGACAAGCTCAAATATCTGGAGCTGCTGTTCCACTGTGTACACATCAGTACTTTAGCACTGCCTTTTATGTTAACAATATGGGATGTTAAAGGTACACTGTGTAACTTTTTGGTTGGGGGTGCGTCATCTGCTTATTTCAGTGAATATGTCATTGCTCTGCCTGTGTGACATTGAACAGCTCTACCTTACATTTATTCTTATTACAAGTGGTTTTATAGCCCAAAAATACCAAGAAAAACAGGCATTCTGATTGTGAGGAAGCTTGCCTCGCCACAGATCTGACCTGTAACGTGGTCTGGTTTGGTCTCCATGATGATAGAAAGGTTTAATACCATACTGTAAAACATTCCAGACAAAGCAATAACATCTCCATGGAGAAAAGTATTTGACAAACCCTATACCAGAAAAGTTACACAATGCACCTTTAAAATAGACAGTCTTCTCTTGCTACTACAGATCTCCATGTATCTCCTCTGGCTGTGAGCTGTTCACATTTTACAAAGAAGATGTGTTAATTGAATAGATGTTTCCCTATTTACTTCCAAAGATAATGAAAAAAAAAAAAATCTGTTGCCAAAGATTTTCCAGAACACAGATTTTGGATCACTTAAATCTCTGAAAACTCTCCCTCATTAAAAAACATTTGTACCCACTAGAGTAACATGTTTTAATAATGTTCAAACATGATTAATTGAATCCCTTTGGTCTGCTTTAACATTCTGAAATTTCAGTTTATTTCTGTGACTGAACATGAACCAAACAAATGAAATAGAGTACAGTGGACAAAGGCAACAACAACAACACACCCAAGAAGAGGTCGTTTTCATTGGTCACTTTATGATGCAGCTACACTGTGCCCAAGGTGCTTTTGTTTTTTATTTATTTATTTACTTTTTGTAATTATTATTTCAGTGCTTGCTGTTCAGTTCCTAATTAACACAAATAGAAGATTAAAAGCTCAAAAAATTTATTTTGTATATAATATAGGGCCTTTAATTGATTTTTGCAGCAGAACTGGGACACCCACGGTTTATGGCGGTTGGTAATAATAAGAAAAAGAGTGCATAATTAAGGAAAATTGTTCTGCACTTGGCCCATTCATGACTAACATGTGAGCCAGTATTGTCAAATTTTCTGCATTTTATCTAAACAAATCACAATTTATGCCTCTCTTTACTGTTGACAGGGATCAAATTGGTTAAACATAGGGACACCTGGGACATTTCTTGTATAAAACTGGGATAAATCTGGTGGGGCGTTTTCACCGTTAGCCAGAGGTGGGACCAAATCTTTGTTTTGCAAGTCTCAAGTAAGTCTAAAATCTTTGACCTCAAGTCCGAGTGAAGTCCTAAGTCAAATACAGGCAAGTCCAAGTCGAGTCTTGAGTCACAGGCCCATAAGTCCAAGTCAAGTCCAAGTCGTCTGCATTGAGCTTCAAGTCATTTCAAATCTTTAAACCAAAGTACCAAATATAGCTTAGATTTTTGCAATTTATATACTTTTTAAACTAAATTGTACTTAAAAAGTCATGGTATTTTTATATATAAGTATTTATTTAAGAGTTGTAGCAATGCTCATTTTCCTTTTTAAATGGCTTGACAAGAGTGTGAATTATTACGGTTGGAACAGAAAGAGTTAAGATTTAAAAGTTAAAACAGTTTATTTGTCAACTAGTCTAAGCATCAAGTCTTCTGAAGTCACAGGCCTCAAGTACGAATCAAGTCCCATGTCACTGACCTTCAAGTCCAAGTCGAGTCCCAAGTCTTAGTCCATTTTATCAAGTCAAGTCTTAAGTCCTAAAAATAGTGACTCAAGTCTGACTCAAGTCCAAGTCACGACTTGCAAGCTGATGTCATCAATATTCTCTGGGGGTGCGATGCTAACTAGAGGCACTGCGCTCCTGAAGCTCTGTTACTCAAGTTAGACTTTAATCTGAGCTTTGTTTTAACACGATCTGAACGTAAAGAACTGACATAGCTGGAACCACAACAGGCGAGCTAATTTGTGCTGTTAAACAAGTTAAATTAGACTCACAAGATAGCAAGCATTAGCCAACAGTCACTCTCACCTTTTTATTAAAAATCAAACACATACGGGACAATGAACACTCTGAAAACATGTTTTTTTTAAATCCATGTTGTATTTTTCTTGAGTTTTCAGACGATCTTAAAACTTTGGCAGTGTTTGCTAATGTGTGCATTGTGTCACTATGGTAACTGCTGAACATTCCTCCATAGTCATACATGTAGAACATCCCCAGCATCACAGCACTTATATCAATACCACTGTCCTTTCTTATTCCCATGATGAAAACTGAGTGAAGCAAACAAATCAAGTCCAGTCAATATGGAGGTGGCATTGCAATAACGTCTTGTCTGTTTCTAAACAAAGCCAATGTGAAAACACCTTTTATTTCTGTTACAGCAAAAACATTACACACAAATCTGTCAATCTGCAACTGGGGAGGCGAAAAGGAAGTTTGGGACTTTTGAGGGAAGAAATTTGACACATGCAGGTATCTGTAGTTTGGGCCTGATCAGGCTTCTCTTATATCAGTCACAGATAATCTAACAAATATTTGGCCAATATTACGCTGTTTTGGATCTATTTTTAATATTGTTTCCTCATCAAAAACATAGCCTTGTTGTTTCAATAATTTCAGTCCTGGAATCTCTACTGAACTAAAGATAAAATGTAGCTCTTAACTTGCAAACTACCTCTGCATGACATCACAAAGTGGAACAGAGCATTTTGAGCTTTGCATATGTAGACAAACTAATAAAGCAGGATTACTCAAACATGTGTGAATGAAACAAAACACAACTCCAGGTCTGTTTTTGAGCAGGCAGCAGCATTTTAAGATAGGACCTTTAAGTTATCACAAGCTTTTACAGTGGGTTGTTCTGAGTGAACTGTAATGGCGTCTTGGGTTGGGACTTATATTCATGATGACACCACCTTTGCCCACAGCATTACAGAGACACAAGAGGTTGACCTGCACCTGCATCAAAAAACACAAAAGTGCTACACACACAACAACATTGTTATGTATTTTTGTATTTTTTATAGGTTACTTGTTGTATTTATGTCTTTTGATCCTTTGTAGTGTGTCCTTTTAATATAAATAAAATGAATTGTGATGTCACACGTTACAAAAGCATGGATGTAACGTGTTTGCCCAAGAAATCATTATAATCAGACTCACAACAGGAGACGTGATTGTGAACAACATTCATAAGTTAATCAAGAAAGAGGTGTTTTTTTCAGAATACATATCCGTACAAACAGAACTCAGCTCCATGAGGTCCCTTGCCCCCATAGGAAAAACATTCAGAGCATTGATTCTTTACAGTCCTTATGAAAGTCCACCAAGTGTCCATTTTCCATTCTGTTTTCAGAGTTGCTTGTGTTCTGTAGTTGTTTTGTCAATGAACAATTAAACTTTGTAGGTGCACTGTATAACCTAGAATGTCCTACACTATGGCATTAAGTTCTCTGTCTACATGGAGACATGGCAAGTTACAGGTCAGATCTGTGTAGAAGCAAGATCACTTGCAGTAAGACAATATGTTTTTAGAGGTATTTTTGAGCAATAAAACCATCCATAGTTGAATTCATTCAAGACAGATACAGTTAATCCCAAACTGTCTAAAACTGTGTTCAGAGTGCGGCGTCGAGAAACACGCTGGACGCCTTTGCATGTGAGGGCATGTGTCCAGGGCATCTGCTGTGGTCAAGTGCCTTGTTTTGTTTTTTCTTGTTGTCTCTTTGCGACCGATGGCAGACCAGGTTGAGAGTGGCTTTAGTGTATTTCTTACATAAAATCCATCAATGGAGACAATCGGCTCAGCGGCAGCGTGTCTGAGTCCATGACATAATTCAGATGTATTCTGTTTCTTCTTCTTCTGGATAGTGTCTTCATCACTGGAGTGTGGTCCCTGATGGTTGATGCAGCACGTTGAATACCAAAAGTTCAGCTTTTTCAACTCTGACCTGTTCGCTCTGTTTGCGCGTCCAGAGCGTCTGATGTCTGAACACTCGAGACGCTGCAGAAACAGAATGGCCAAGGCTTGCATTCACATAGACTTTGCCTGTAAACTCGACACCATGACGCCACAGTCTGAACACAGCGTAACATTCCAACCAACGCAACATCTCCAAGGAGAGAAAAAGGTACTGTACCCAGTACTAGAAAAGTTACACAGTGCACCTTTAAGTACATGTACATTCTGTGATCGTAGTAATGGCAGCTTTGTGATGCAGAGTTTAGTTATAAAAGACATCATCCTCAGACAGAGAGCTGCTGTCCACATGTCTCACACTGGCCTCTGCTGTGATTGGGCCCTGGGCCTCCACCTGCACCGCTGTCTGTGGATGGGTGCTGCTGGTGGTGGGTGACACAGAGTCATCGTGGGTGGGTGCCATGCTCGACTCCGTGTACATCTGTGAGTGCAGGCTGTACAGGTGCTGAGGGACGCCCATGCTCCCCCCGTCCAACAGGAACTGGGACAGCAGGTGGTTGTGGGGCACTGCAAAGACCAAATATGATTAAACATGTATTTTTAATTTCAAAATTCAATATGCAGTACTTTGTTGAGGTCCTATTGAGAGTGTACCAGTAATACACTGGTACACTGGCAGTGGGCAACACCAGTGGAAGCTTTGTGCATAAAAAAACATATCTGGCATCTTAATAACAGTTAGTTTTTAAGCTTTTGTAGTGCACACCCCCAGTCTCAGTTTGAAACAACTCTGAGGTTAGTTTATAGATAAAAGTAGTTCTCACATTGGCCTCTGTCATTTAATTGAAAATTAAATGAGCCAATGTTTTAAATGACGCTTTGACGCAAATGGATCCTAAAGATTTGGATTGTACAAAGGAGCTGAAAGTCCCATCAGTAGAAGGTTGTCTTTTCTGCTGAATCATGATGGCATCATATTTTAGTATTCATGGGTTTCCACTTTCTGTTCACAGGTGGCATTTTGAGTGCTTTTTTCCATTTAAATGATAGAATATGTTGTTTTGAATCGATATTTGCTATGGCAACGGCGTTCATTTTTCATCACCCCAAAATCCGTGGATTTGCGTGTCTTGCTTGGAAACAGACAAAAGCAGGTTCTAAAAATGTGCTGTGACTGTAGTGTTGGCCCAGCACAGCAACTAATGAAAAAGTGTGAAATCCAGGAAGAGACGAGTCAAGTCAAACCAGGTATAGGATCAAACAGGCAGAGGTGGAAGTAAATTAAGTAAAAGTACAGATTAAGGATTAAAGTAAGAGTATTTCATGCAGGTTTTGAGATCTAATAAAGCTTCAAATGTAATGATTTTGATAAAGAACTAAGCTGAATTTTGTTCAACAGAAACAACTGAATCGATCTGTGGTTATGTTTTTGTCTGCTCAAATTATGAAGGTGATAAAAATAAACCCTCAGCCTTTTCGGCAGGTGACAAACAATAATACAAAATAATGAATACTTTTACTTTTCAGCTCTATTCAAAATGTAGTAGAGTAGAAAGTACAGATACCTGCTCTCAAATGAAGTTAAGTAAAAGTAAATGTGCCCTCTTTAAAATGTAAAGTGAAGTACAAACAGGGACAATGCGATCTGTGTTCTTCTTGTAAATGGTTGTAAAAGCTCAGCTATAACTGTCCATTATATATTCTGTCTCCATTTGCAGCCACTTGATGAAATGCTTGAAGTAATTTTATTGAGAGACGCAGCAGCACTCAGGCTCATTACAGGTGCATCTTGAGCAGCTGCAGCTCAGTGTGATCATTATCCTCCACAGACTCAAGACTTTAACAAAACTAATTAAAGCAGCCGCTGTATTTGTGTGCTGCAAGTATTCTCACAAAAGAAGATTCAAGTGAGCAACCCCCAGCTGCAGAGGAAGAGGATGTGTTTGGTATTATTTAGTCTAGTTTTTGGATTTATGAAACAGTTCAGAAATACAAACCCAGCTCATGTTCACTGGAAAGAATATGCAGCAGAACTTTAGAAAGAAGCAGGAATTGGAAGTGTAAAGTGCTTTTGGTACACTTCAGCATTGGTGCCACTTCCTGAGGCTCTTGAGGACATTTGCTTTGGTTATTTCATTTTTTAGAACTTAAAATAATACCTATGTTTTTATTTATTTATTCATTTGATATAGACATAGCAATTACATCGGACAAACCAGAAGTGTTGTTTCAAATGTTTCAAACACCTGTCCATCAAAAGCTTTAAGAAAATTTGCTTTAGATGAATATTTTAAATCTTCAATTAATAATAATAATCCAGTGCTGTCCTAGATAATACTATACATTTAAGTATGCAGCAGATACAAGCACAATATGTCTTCTTGATGATTGTGTCATCTTGTTCTGAGCCGCAGAAATTACTCTTTTTCAATTTTCCCCAGATTGTGACATCAAAGGCAAAAATCCAGTAGGCTGATTCATCAGCTGGTTTCACTTCATGGAAACCGTCTGACCTCGCAACATTAGGATTCGTTCGCTCGACGGTAGGCAGGTACTTTTATAATTTAACCAGTCGCTGCTATTTGGTTGTGACGTACATAATGCGCCGCTAATGGAGCTAAGCGGTATATTAAGTTTTTCCCAAATCCCGTAGGAAGAAGGACAATAACGTCTTTCCCCTTGATAAAATTCACCAAACATTGAACATTTGTTCCGGCTTTATATCCTCGATCTTGAGAATCATTGCCAACACAAAATGTATGGATCTTCTTACAAACCGTCTAGTGTATTCTGATTCCTGACCTAGGAAGGTGGCGTCAGCCTGGCTAGAAATCCAGAGATGTACATTAATCATTTGCCAGTCACTAAGTACAGAGCACCAGCGTACGCAATATAGCATCTTGAAAATAAGGGGTTAAAGATAGCTTCAACATGCATGAATCACTCTAAAAACAACTTGAGAGGGTAAATAAGGTGCCTCTGCCTTACCTTGTAAACTGGTGGAGGGTCGCTCGAGGCCGTCACCCATGGACCACACATTCATCGCAGCTTCAGCGAGTGCGAACTGCTCTGCCACACCTGAAACACACATACACGTTTGCTGTGTTAGCTGTTAACTGAGTTTAACCTCATGAGTCTGGCCCCTCTGAGCCAATAAAAGCCACACTGCCTTGACACTGTCCCGAGGTCCATCGATCTACTGCTGGCCTCTGAAAAGGACCATCGACCCACAGGCGTCCCACGGTGAAGAGAACATCTGTCTGCATGTGTGCTGGCTTTGAAGACAAAAGATTCTTCTCTTCAAAAACATCTCCACACGAACAGTGTGCCCAGCTCCGCAGAACCCTCGGTCAATATTCCATGTGAGGAGCTTTTACACAGGAGAGGGACAAGCAGCTGCAGTTACAAGTGACAAATAAGATGTGAAGGTAAGAAATGTTAGTGGACAACAAGGTCATTTTAATAGACAGTAGGCCTTGTTTGGTGCAGTGATAATTAGTCCCGCATGTAAACTGTACACGTCCCAGGAGACTGCTATGTTACTGAGCACAACAGATGATACAATTGACAATGGTGGGAAGTACTGAATGTACTGAAAATACAAATTCAGAATACACATTTATTCAGTGGTGTAGTGGGGATTTTTTTAAGTGGGAGTATGTAATTCCCATCTCCCTCCAAAAGTCATATAATCAACTTGACATGCCCAAATACACACAGGTGTCATTATAGATTGTTTATTTATTTAAAAATAAAATAAATCACTATCACTTCAGTACAAACATAAAGGTGCCAGCCCAGTAAAAATCAGTCATATATAATGGTTTATTAATCAAAATTATGTTGAATCATGTTATTAACATTAACACCATTCATAATCATCTACAGAACATAAATCATAGGCAACAACACATGAACCAGGACTGAACCAGGAGGACTGTACCAGGACTAAACCATGACTAAACCAGGTCTAAACCAGGATTAAACCCAAACTGAACCAGGACTAAACCAGGTCTAAACTAGGTCTAAACCAGAACTGAACCAGGACTAAACCAGGTCTAAACCCGGACTAAACCAGAACTCAACCAGGACTGAACCAGGACTAAACCATCTCTAAACTAGGACTAAACCAGGACTAAACCAGAACTCAACCAGGACTGAACCAGGACTAAACCAGCTCTAAACCAGGACTAATTTTGGACTTGAGAGTGAGAACCCCGAGCCCGTGGAGCAGGGTGTCCGCAAAGTGTTATCGTGCAACTCCTGCGCTTAGCCCCGTGGGGTCTACTCTGGTCCTTTCACTTGTGGTCACCTGACAGTCTACGTGGGTGAACCTCCGGGCCAGTCCTGACAATAAGTCCTGGGTCAGTTCTGGTTTAGTGTTGGTTTAGACCTTGTTTTTTGTGATGAATAAGGAACCACACAGAATGAGTACACAGCTTCATCATTCTCACACTTGCACTAAAACTACACAATTGTTTTTAAATACCACTTTTACAGCATTATATTTTGGTCACTTGTTCATTAACCCCTTATTAAAATACCCTCAATTAAAACTGAAGTTGTTTTTGAACCCTTTGGAGCACAAACAATAGGCTGGGCTCTTTGTGAAGCTGTACTAAAACCAGATTTCAAATTATTTATATTATTAGTAGTTCACAGCAACTTTACTCCTCCTTATGTCTCTAAAAATGATTTCTAGACTTTCTGCACTCCAGGCTAAATGCATTTAAAAAGTCTACTGAAATATTTTAATTTTAGAACCAGTGTTGTGCAAGTTCACACTTTTCATGAACTAGTTCAAAGTTCAGTTCACACATTTTCAAAGTGAACTGTTCACGTTCATAGTTCACAATTTAAATTTTGAACAAATGCTGGTTGCTACGTGAACACGTGAAACACTAGGACCTCTCTAAGCGTGCAGGTTCTGAACAGGGGTACGCACCCCCAATTTTCTGGAGCCACATGTTCGCACTTTGGTACTTGCTCTGATCATTGTGTATTACATTTTCTGTATTGGCCATTGTTGGCAAAATAATTTGAAAATGAATCGCGGCTGCATCTGGACAACAACCTTATTGCACTGGAATCGTACAGTGTGTCATTTCAGGCAGAGGAGACGCATATCCCCTCCCATGATGCATTTCAAATACTTCGTTTGGACCTGCTTTCTATGATTTGGACCCGAGTTTGCATTCATACCAGACGAACCACATCAGAGTTTGGCATTTAGTGCGGATTCAAGTGAACTGAGACCGCTCTTTTTTGAGGTTTCAGTCCGCTTGATTTAGTGCGGGTCCAAGTCCGAGTCCGATTGATACTTTCACACCAATGAAAACGAACTGAACTAAGAGCTTTTGGTTCGAATGGACCGTTTGGTGTGCACCAACTATTGTTGGTGTGAAAGCACCCTAGGGACCATCTGACCAATGTGCTCGGAGTATGGCACAAGACCAACCCTGTCCTGAAGGGCGGCGTGCTACGGTGAGTATCCTGTGTCTTTAGTGTTGTTGGCTGCTGCTGTTACCCGAGCTCAGTGCTTCTGCTCTGGCCTTATGTGCAGTGTGTTGCATACAGAGTTCTACATGCTGCTGTTTTCTGACAGCCTTAACAGGGAACATCAATATTGGCAATTGGATATATCGCTGTTCTCATGGGAAACAGATGCTCGTCAATCAGACCAATTTTGATTGGTCTGTCGGTGTGAAAGTGGACCACACTGGAGTCTATATGCAACATAATAATTATTTTATTGCCGAGTGCAGACCAAATAATCGAACTAGCGTTGTGAAAACGCCCTTCGTCAACTAATCATGCCCATCCCTACTTCACACTACATTACCCAAGAGGCATTGCACACACAACGCACGCTCTCTGGTGAGGCTGTGCAGGAGGAGCCCGTGGGCTTTGAGTGACAGCGCAACATGCAGTTTAAAAAGCGTGAGCAGACCTTGTCATTGAACTCAACAGGTGAAAACAAATTATAGCGTTTAATTGAGTGACGTATGTTGTTCGTCTCACATGATCTGAACAAATTCACGTTCAAGTTTTTGATTTACAAATGTGTTGCGTTCAGTTCAAAGTTCACTGAAAAATGAATGTGTTCAATGAACGGGTTATTTTGAACTCGTTCATGCACAATACTGTTTAGAAGAAACTGATCCTGATTTTTTCCACAGATTTTTTTATTTGACAGAAAATAGAGGGTTATTCCAGGAGGTTGACAGTTCCCGTTTTCATCAGATAGTTGATAAAAGAGAATATATAAAGAAATTCTCGCTGTTGAATATTTTAACACCTATTTTGAATTTTGAGTTTGCAGCCTCACCTTGCTTTTTTACATATTAATAACATGTTTTCAGATGAGCACACTCACTAGGTAGCAAGGGCATAGATTTGGTCTCAGCTTTGGTGGGGACATTATCACCCCCCCATGAGTTCCATCAGTCCATTTTCTTCCTCTTATCCGGGGCCAGGTCGAAGGAGGCAGCAGTCTAAGCAGGGACTCCCAAACTTCCTTCACCCCAAACACGTCCTCCAGCTCCTCTGGGGGAACCCCGAGGCGTTCCCAGGCCAGTTGAGAGACATAGTCCCTCCAGCGTGTCCTGGGTCTTCCCCGGGGCCTCCTCCTGGTGGGACATGCCTGGAACACCTCCCAAGGGAAGTGTTCAGGAGGCATCCAGAACAGATGCCCAAGACACCTCAGCTGGCTCCTCTCGACGTAGAGGAGCAGTGGCTCTACTCCAAGCTACTCCAGTGTGACTGAGCTCCTCACTCTATCTCTAAGGGAGCGCCCAGCCACCCTGTGGGAAATTCATTTCGACCTCTTGTATCCGCGATCTCATCCTTTCGGTCATTACCCAGAGCTCTTGACCATAGGTGAGGGTAGGAACGAAGATTGACCGGTATTTACCGGTCAAGAGCTTTGCCTTTTGGCTCAGCTCTCTCTTCACCACAACTTTCCGATACAGCGACTGCATCACTGCTGACGCTGCACCGATCCGCCTGTCCATCTTCCCCTGACTTGTGAACAAGACCCCGAGATACTTGAACTCCTCCACGTGAGGCAGGGCCTCCCCACCCACCCGGAGAGGGCAAGCCACCTTCTGGGCAGGTCCAAAATAAGTGAGAGGTGGTTTCATTTTTCAGTTTACAAAGTGTACAGTTTGTGTCCATTGTCCTTCTAAGATTATTTTTTACTGGATAACAGTGATGTAACCAGACCAAGTCACCAAGTTTTTCTAGGTATTTTTGAGCTATAAAACCATCTTTAATGGAATAAATGTAAAGAACAGCTGTTCAATGTCACACTGTGGAACATTCCAGGCAGAGTAATGACATAGAAACAAGCAGGTGACAGATCCCCAACCAAAAGTTACACAGTGCACCTTTAAGGACACATGTTTAATCTCTGTCAGTGCAGTCTTACCTGCTGCGAAGCGAGCCTCTTTGATCTCGTCCGTCATCTGCGAGTAGAACTGTGCGTCCTCCTGTAGCTCTGCCTCCATGCCCCCCCACCCAGCCCCCCCTCTGCCCCACCCCGCCCCGCTCCACCCCCCAGACCCCCCCTCGCTCACGCCCCAGCCCTTCCATTCAATCAGGTGCGCCACTCTGCCCTGGGCCATGGCTGTGGGTTTAGTGATGTGATCCTTTATCGTGGCCACCAGACCTGGAAAGTAAAACACAGAGAAGACATAGAGGTCAGAAGCATAAACTTTATATTACTGAAAGGAAGTTCGCATGCGGGCTCTTCTGGCTCCTACTAACCATGGCTACCATTGACTTACATTAGAATATTGTCTCCCCTCTCTCTGTAACTGCAGCTGTGAGCCTCGCCATTTTGTTTGTTTTATTCTCCTCTATATGATCCTAGTGTTTTAGGGTCTTTTTCTTGCTATTTTGTTTGACTATTCATAATAAAAAGCCTAGCTAAAAATTTGCTCCTGTAACTGATAGTTTCTTGAGTTTCATCTGAGTGGAGCTGAACACTATGGGTGACGTCACGCTCTCTTAGGCTATTTTTTATTTAGTCTAGGGTCAGAACCAACACAAGACCTGGAATAACAGCTTATGCAAATGCACGGAAATGTCCAACACACAAAAAAAGTATAAAAGAGGAAAGTATGTCACTTCAAAATGGAAAAATATTAAAAAGCTGTGAACATTCCTACAATTTAATTCAAAAATACGGTACGATTTTATTTTGTACTTTGCCATGAAATAACCCTATGTCCTGTCAATCATCATATCATTGTTGCACTGTCTTCCTATGAATTCTCATATAAAGCTGAGATTTTATGTTTTATGTTACTTTACTTATGTTTCTATTTTATTTTTACCTGTACATTTATATTTATATAATTATGTCTTTTGTCTGTCTCTTGATATCTTTTTGCTACTTAATCAGAATTTATTATTATCATTTATATTTTTTACTCTTTGTTATTATATTATCTTCTGATTTGTGTTAGCTACTGTGCCCAAATAATTTCCCTTGTGGATCAATAAAGTTTGTCTAAACCTAAGTCTAAATATCCAAAAGGCAAATTTGCAAATGTTGAACCTGATCATTTCTTTTAGTGACTAAACCCATTAGCTTGCTGTATTACAACACCTGCATTTTAACAATATTAATTTCAGCTGCCCCCATCTTCATTAAATATTATTAGCTTATAGAACGTTGTGATATCCTCTGAAACCCACCGATAAAGGGACCAGTATCATGACTTCAGTCCTTTCTGAACTGAGGACAAATCCATGTCAGACCTGCTATTACAATCTAACCACTATAATGCAAGGCCGTTCACAGATTCTCCTAACACATCCATGCGTGCTGGTCTGTGGTCTGGCATAATAAATCAGATATTTCAAAGGTACATTCAATTTGTTATGGAATACAAGCTATTAGTTCTAACACAGACTTTTTATATAGTCTTTGGAGCAATGTTTTGTATAGGCTACCTCATATACAGCAAAGGATCCTTGAACTTCATTGAGATCAGAGCAAGCTTTAACTATTGTTGAATATTCTATAGTTTCTTTCAAATGTCGTGATTCATTATACACTAGGTGAAATAGATACAGATGAAGATGGTCAGATTAAGTCCATCCTACACAGAGCAGTTCAGATCTTGCTTGCATTAAATGACTTTGAATGTTAAAGGGCCCATATTACGCTATTTTCTGATCTATGTTATACTGTTTGTATAAGGTATAATGTTTCTTCGTCAAAAATATTCCTGGAATTTTCATTCATTCTCTCTGTTCCACCTTGTGATGCCATGTGGTGATACAGGAAGTGCTCCATGGTGCTTTTAAACTTCATGCACCTTAACTACAATTATTTGGATGATTTCAGCCCTGGAGTTGCCAACCTCTCCTGAACAAAACCTAAAAGGCAGCTTGAAAACTACTGCTTCATGACATCAGAAGGTGGAGCAGAGCATTTTGAGCTTTGGAGATGTAGACAGACTAAAAATAAAATGTTACTCAAACTTGTGTGAATGAAGCAAAACACAACTCCAGGTATGTTTTGATGAGATAACAACATTATAACACAGCTCAAAGCTCAAAAGAGTCAATTTTGCATAATATAGGACCTTTAAAATGGAAAAGCTAAAGGTGGTTTGGCGATACAGCAAAGGTTACTGTATTCAATTTGATGTCAAGAGAACCGCAAAGGTCACAAGAAGGTCAAGGATGTCAAATTATAGAAGCATCTCAGGTTTGGGAAGTGAGCGTTAGCACCCAGCGCTGGCAGGAGTACAATGAGTGTCTGTGATAAATGTGAACTTGAGTGTGTTCCACAGAGAGACCGGACGCCCACAGTCTGTCTGCAGCGTTGTGGAAGTGTCTGAAGACGCTGTGCTGGCATCATTTAAAACACACAGGACAGGAGGACGGGGGAGGCGGATGTTTTTAAAGAGGTTGCTTTGTTCATTAGTGAGTTCTCAGAATAATTATGCTAATCACTTCCTAGTACCTTGGGACCTGGAACATATCACAAAAACAAATACTGAGAACTTTTTTCCAGACTTCGTTGTCTCTACACGATACTCAACTCATCACAGAAGTTTGTATACGATTTGTTAGGGATTCATACATCAGTAGTAAATAACTAGAATAAAGTTCTTAGATTTTGCATTTATCTGACTTGCCCACTGCTTAAACAATACATCTTGGTGGGCTGTGGTGTCTGTGCTGCAGAACACAGAGAAGGAAAGGACAGTTTTGTCCTGACAGTGGTTACTCTCCTCAAATTGCCCTGACATGGGATCTGCTGATAAGTTCTTCTGTAAAACTGCACTGACCTTTGTTTTTATATTGATAAACTTTATAAAACACCTGAACCATTTACACTGCAATGTATTTCATGGTTTCAGCACTTTATGTTTATTTGTGTGAAACACAAAGTATAAATGGAAAAGCTGAGTGCATTTATGTGATATGAAAGTGGTAACAGGTTTATACAGAAGCCCACAGCGCTCCTGCCGGCCTTACACAAAATATGTGATTGTTTTAGTGTTGATTTTTGCAGTTGCCTTGTAAACATGCTGTTATTTGCTGCTGCTGAGCTCCAGGCCTTTGATATGGCAAATAAAACCAAAGCAGCCAGCAGCAGTTAAACTTTACAGAGGAAGAAAAATGTGCCAATAAAATTGGCATTATGTTTCTCAAATGTGATTAGACTTTTATCCTCACTGGTTTTATCCCACAGGTCACTATTGTAACATGAGGGAATTGCCTCCATTGACAGTGAAGCAAATTAATTGAAATTCTAAACTGGTAAAGGAGACACAGTCTGACAGATCCTCTGAGGATTTCTGCAACCAGTGGCAACACATGTGAACATTACTGGTCTAATGCTCATCATGCACAAAGGCATCGTGATCATATCTGTGACGCTGGTTCTTCATGAGTTAATACTCTTGTTTTGTCTATAATTTGATTGCATGCTGACAATAAAGGGTAGATAAGAGATAGTAAAGGTGCATTATGTAATTTTCAAGTATACCACAGGCAGTGTTTCCTGCAGAAAATTGGTTGGTCAAAGTGGTGTGACGGTGGGGGGTTCGGAGGGACATAGTCAAGGTGGGGGGCAAAGCGGCCACCCTAACTATAAAGTGCTGCGGGAAACACTGAGATGGTATTGCTATGTCTAAACTGTTTCATAATATGGCATTAAACTTACCTACCTCATATTTATTGTGTTTTAATGCAAAAAAAAAAAGCTTCAAAATAAATATACTTTGAGCTGGCTTGCCTCTCCACAAATCCAACCTGTAACTTGGGTTAGTGGCTTCACCTGCTTCTCTCCAGAGAGATAAATGCTGTAGTTTAATGCCATACTGTGGAACATTTCAGACAAAGCAAAGCAATCCTCATGGAAATATATGTCCCTGTAGCATCTTACTGAATGCAGGAGTGTTCGATAAAGTTATAATCGTAGGTTCTCTACAATATATCTATAAAAGACCAATGCTCCTTCATTATATTCTGAGTTGAAATATACCAGGAAACATATTTGCATATAAAGTGGCCAAAGTGAAAAGCTAATCAATGTCAATATAGGGAAGAGGAATATTGAAGTCCAAAAAGATTAGACCTCTCCCCCATGCCCCTCCTCCTGCCCCTTTCCTACACCCCCCACCTGCTCCTGCTCCTCCTCCTACACCCCCCACCTGCTCCTGCCCCTCCTCCTACACCCCCCCACCCACTGCTGTCCCCTCCTGCAGTGTCACTAATGAAACCCTGATTGTTGAATGATTTAGTCGAACTAAATCTTTGTGTTTCATTGATTTGGAGCAGGTGTTTGAGGTTGATGTTGGTTCCTCCATCCTCAATAATTACTCCGGAAGTTTGACTGGAAGGGTTCAAAAAGGCACCGAGAACATTATAAGACGAGATAGGGAGCCCAGACAGAGACATAGCTGAGCTGATGTTTGTGTAAATAGGTCACAGAGAAGCAGAGAAATGACTACAGAACCCCCCGTGGCTCAACTTTAGCTCACTCCATGATTGGGTCTGTGATGAGACACAGCAGGTATTTAACATGGATGTAATACATAGATACACCTTTGGAAAGTCATCAAAGTCAGGTAGAAATTACTTGCAAAGAATCATGGTGAATGGCTATACTACTACATATACTCTTTATGAACTTTAAATATATGAAATTTCTTTAGTAATGCAAATGTAATGTTATACCTACCTCTGTCATATGTACATTTTAATCTAAAAGTCACCTACTACTCAGAGGTGGGACCAAGTCGCTGTTTTGCAAATCTCAAGTAAGTCTCAAGTCTTTGACCTCAAGTCCGAATTAAGTCCCAAGTCAAAGGCAGGCAAGTCCAAAGTCACGGGCCCATAAATCCAAATCAAATCCAAGTCATCTGCTTTGAGCTTCAAGTCATTTCAAGACTTTAAACCAAATACAGCTTAGATTTTTGCAATTTATATAACTTTTAAGCTTAACTGTACTTAAAAAGTTGTGGTATATTCATATAAGAGTTGTGGAAATGCACAATTTTCCTTCGTCTTGATAAATGTGAATCATTATGGTCAGAACAGAAAGAATTAAGATTTAAAGTGCAGTTCACTAGCTAGGACCACGCCAACGATGACATAGTGTGAAGAAGTTTATTGATAATGTACGAAGCAAGGCAAAGATGGCTGGGTTGAGAATATGGGTGGGGGCTCCGTCTCAATCTACAATTGGCCCAGCCAGAACGGGACCCCCCTTGTAGGGATCTTATGACTGAAAGACAAAATAGGGGATGGGAGGTTGGGGTCGAGTTCGCCGAGACAAACTGGGATGATGGGAAAGGCTGCTACATATAGGCTTCTGGGAAATTAGAGGTGTGGTCGAGGTGAGTTGTGGTTCGCTGGTGAGAGGAGAGGGCGGCTGAGGCGTGGTCCTGCTTCTGAATCTCAGTTAATCGTATTAACTACATTTATGTTGTCATGTAGTCTGCACTGAGATGGAAGGATCATGTTATATGTAGTTCCCTCTGTTTTACTCTAATGAACTGTATATTACCTTATTATACTATATTACATGTACTGTACATGTACTGTACATTTGAGGATACCATGCCACAGTACTTCATTTACATCCAAAGTAACGAACTTAGAAGTGCGACGGACATGTTCCAGTTTCTTCCTATAAAATTAAGCAGCACATTTATTAACTGTAAATAGAGAAGCACTTTCTAAAACCATACATGTTTTAGGAGAAGCATCAAGTCTTATGCCTCAAGTCTGAGTCAAGTCCCAAGTCACTGACCTTCAAGTCCAAATTGAGTCCCAAGTCTTAATCCATTCTATCAAGTCAAGTCTCAGGTCCTAAAAATAGTGACTCAAGTCTGACTCGAGTCTAAGTCACGACTTGCAAGTCCACCTCTGCTACTACTACAGACTGTATACACTGTACTGCGTATCCATTGGTGGTTTTATATTCTTGAATTTGATTACATTGTGATTAGAAATGTTGAACCTGATCATTTCTATCAGCGACCAGACCCAAGAACTCACTGTATTACAACAAAAACTATTTAAAATAACATTTAAAATACATTAATTTTAGTTGCCCCCATTGTATTAAATATTATTGGGCTGATAGAGGAGAGGAATATAATGATGTCTGAAACCCAGCAACACTATTCATGGGTTTCAGAGTGATGACAAATATAGTAATTAATAATTGCAGGGGAAAGCAGGGGCGGAAAGTAAGTAATTACAATTGTTGAGTAATCCTATTAGTCTGTCTACATCTCCAAAGCTCAAAATACTCTGCTCCACCTTGCAATGTCATGTAGTGGTAGTTTTCAAATTAATAGCTCCTTTTACCTTTTGTTCAGTAAAGATTGACAATTCCAGAGCTGAAATTCTCTAAATGATTCTAGTGAAGGTTCATGCTTCTCTTGGTGCTGTTTCTTTATACATCCAAACACTCATAACATTTCTGCATCAGCCAGAACTCAGAGAATACCACAGTACATATACTTGTAATTTTTTTTGCCATGTAACTGCAGCCCATCTACATAATATATTTCGATACAATGTTGCCATTAAATGTTAAATTGTATGGTACTCATCAATTATATACACTGCTAATTCATTAAATTTGTATAGTAAATATGACACTGTGATCTAGCATCATCATGAGTGGCCAGGAAATGGGTGGCGCCGACACGCCTACCCATTGTCATGAATATGGCCTGGGTGCGCTCAGGTGTTGTAGCCCTGCGTGACTCAAATGTATTGAACCAGTGGATAAATTAAATGTTGCAAAACTGAACAGTTTGTGTGTATTATTTGAGAATGCAACATAACTGTACTTTTACTTGAATATTAGGGATGTAACAATAACCGAAATATCGTGATATCATATCATCAAAAGTCTCACAATAATATCGTGAGCTGTATATCTGTATACACAATATATCAAATCACAAGTTCCTTTCCTTAAATGCATGGTTTTACAGTATAAACATAGGGAACTACATATCCCATGATTCATTTCAGTGCAGACAACATGAAGAAATATGTTTTTTACTTGAATTCTTGGAATTATGATGGAAATAATTCACACCAAAATCTTATCCAGGTATTTTAAAAACGAAAAAGTGTTCCATCTACAATTATATTAGTCTCTCCAAAATATCGCAATAAATATCGTACCATGAGATGCATATTGTAATAATATCATAACACGAGATTTGGATATTGTTACATCCCTATTGAATGTATTTTTCATGCTCAAAATGGCATCTACAAATAAAAAGCTGAAACCCATGATTTATCTTTTCGGGCTTGTGATTATTTTTTAGAATTTGTGAATAGATTTCCCCTTGAGATGTAGCACCTCATTTTCAACTGGGGAACGCTAACTCTGTAAGTGTTAACATGTCTAATTAGCTTTCATAAGTAAATGTAGCTTTAAGAATAAGAACACAGGAGTTTGTTTTACCCATGAGTGAGGATGTAGCCAGTTCTCCGATGTCATATCTGCTGCTCTTGTCGGTCACACTACCATTGGACGGATTCTGGACTTCCTAGAAAAAGAAAATGACACATTGTGAATCTTGTGTATCAATTTTTTGTTTCTTTCCCATTCTATACATACTTTTTAAGGTCCTATATTCAACAAAATTAACTCTTGTGAGCTTTAAGCCATGTTATAATGCTGTTATCTCCACAAAAACATACCTGGAGTTGTCAGGTTAAGAAAAAAAGGGAGAGAGCTTCACTGGGTCTTAAAAGAGTAAAAAATAGCAGTACATGTGCTCTATGAGGGTTAAAACAGGGGTTTTTGAACAGAAAAATACCCTTACTGAAAAATGTAAAAATGGGTAAGGTAGAAACCCAAGTCACGTTGACTGAATATATTAAAAGTCCTTTATTACATGAAGGGATGCCAATGTCTTTTTGGACCAGCAAGATGGTCTTCCTCAGGGCAAACCACTTTGTTTGTACCTTACCCATTTTTACATTTTCCAGTAAGGGTATTTTTCTGTTCAAAATACCTGGAGTTGTGTTTTGTTTCATTCACACATGTGTCTGAATGTGAGTAATCCCGCGTTATTAGTGTGTCTAGCTCCAAAGCTCAAAATGCTCTGATCCACCTTATGATGTAATGAAGCTTTTCAAGTTAACAGCTCCTTTTACCTTTTATTCAGTAGAAATTGGCAATTCCAAAGCTGAAATGATCCAAATGATTCTAGAGAAGGTGTGTGGAGTTTAAAAAACACAGTGGAGCACTTACTGTATTAACACATGACATCACAAGGTGGAACAGAGAATTTTCTGTTTGAGAGAAGAATTAAATTTAATAGATTTATGTATGAATAAGGAAACAATATATATAAAATATAGATCAGAAAATAATGCATTGTATTTGACCTCCATTAGTGTAATATGGGCCCTGGTTTCCTTGCCTCGCTATACATACTTTTTAAACATTTTCTTGTCTCTTTTTTGTATTTCAATATTCAGAAAATCTCCAAATGTGAGGCATAATAATAAGTGAAGTATTTGCAGAGCAGCAGGTGTGAGCGCCGCCCCCACTCTCACTTATGAAGGAAACAACAATGGGAGACGACACAGACTTCTCCCAATGAACTGTGATCTGAGGTATTTCTGTACTGCCTTCTGGAGCTCACACATCCTGGGAGAAGATGAAGAGGAGGAGGAGGGGAGATAGAAGAGGAGGAGGAAGACAGAGGAGGGGGAGGAGGAGGGGAGATGGAAGAGGAGGATGAGGAGAGGGAAGAGGAGGAGGGGATCACACCTAGACTAGCTTGTGTGATGAAGAAGAAGAAAAGCTTTGAGCACAAGGATCAGAGCAGAAATACATTTTTGAGACCTGGAATAATAGAATAATAGACTGGCTTCCTGCTCAAAACCGGTCTGAGAAAGGAGGAAATATACCTTTGCTACAGCTGGACAAGAAAAAACACACAATGAACCCAAGAGTAAAACTGAGGACTTTTACAGATCCTGTATTACACAGAATGGATCTTCTGAAGAAATGTTATGTTATAATATTGTTGTTCACAAACTTGGAGTTGTGTTTTGTTTCATTCACACTTCATTCATTTAAGTAATCCTGCATTATTAGTCTGTCTACATCTCCAAAGCTCAAAATGCTCTGTTCCACCTTATGATGTCATGAAGCAGTAGTTTTCAAATAACAGCTCCTTTGACCTTTAGAGATTGGTTGGGGCTGAAATTATCCAAATGATTCTGGTGAAGGTTGGATGGAGTTTAGGCAAGGCAAGTCAAGGCAAGCTTTTTTGTATAGCACAATTTGTACACAAAGTAATTCAATGTGCTTTACAGAATAAGAAATACATTAAAATCACAATACAAACAAATCAAAACATAAATAATCACAAAAATAATAAAATTAAAAGAGAGACATTAAATGAGAGAGAAGAGTGTTGTGAGGGTTTCATCCTGCCCCTCCTACCCCTCCCTTCCCTGCTCCTTCTCTCCTTACCCTATTTGGTGTTTCCTGGGCGGACCCCAATCACTCACCTGCTGAGCTCCACTCCTGATCCTCATCAAGTAATCATCTCCTGCAATAAAAGACCTGCTGACCTGCTCTCCAGTGCCAGATCGTTCTGTCAACCCAGTAGTGAACTACTCGGGCTTTTTTGTGTGTTTTTGAGCATTTTGAAAACTTTTATTCTTACTTGTTTCTTTTGTCCGTTCCTCAGTTCATCCGTTTGGAGCCAGCCTCATCCCCTTGCCACCCGTTCCGCATGCCTCTGGTCAGCCTCATCCCCACATACCTCTCACTTTCAGCCAACCTGGACCCGTCTTGTCTCCCCTGGAACCCCTTTCCGAGACTATTTTTGTTAATAAATACTTTTGGTTTCTGCATATTTGGGTCTGACCAGTGATTTCCATAATAGTGCGGTATTAAAAATGAAAACCTTTCAGTCATATGCAGCTAAACACAACAATTTTGAGCCTGGATTTAAACAGTGTCAAAGTAGAGGCCTGTCTAACATCTTTAGGAAGACTGTTCCAGGTTTTAGCTGCATGAATCTGAAATGCTGACTCCCCGTGTTTAGCCCTGATTTTGGACACCAGCAGGAGGCCTGTCCCTGAGGTCCTCAAAGTGTGAGGTGGTTCATATGGCACTAACATGTCACAAATGTACCTTAGTGCTAGGCCATGGAGAGATTTGTACACAAGAAGAGCCACTTTAAAGTCTATTCTCAGAGGCATAGGACTTATGTGCTCGTATTTCCTAGTTCGAGTCAAAAACACAGTGAAGCACTTCCTGTATCATTACAAGGAGGGACAGAGTTTTCAGTTTGAGAGAAGAACTCAGGCTAAATATGCAAAGTTTGTGTGTTAAACATGTGTGAATGCAACAAAACACAACTACACGTCTGTTTGTGACGAGGGAATATTATAACATAGATCAGAAAATAGTGTAATATGGTCCCTTTAAAATAGTTGAACTCATCCTTATAATACACTGTCACTTGCGGTTTCTGAATTAGAATTTTAACTCTATTTAAACTTCTTTTCAGGGGAGAAGTGCAAAATTCTAGGCTCTGGGTGCAAGTAATTCTTCTTTTTGACAGCCCCTCGCCTCCACTGGGCCCTGGCAATCGAGCTAAAATCATAACTTCAGTTGGCATAATTGTCAAATTACTAGGGATGAAATGATTTAGATAATCACGTTTAGAATTTATATAATCTTACACTACCAGTCAATGGCTTGGACTCACCCTCTCATTCAGTGTTTTATTAGATATACATACACAAGTCTTTAAATATATGAAGTAAGATGTATGGAATTATGTACCAAGGAAAAAAAGTAAAATAACTCTACTAAATATATAGTTTCTATGTTTTATAACCAAATTCTCAAGTTAGCCACCCTTTGCTTTGTCAAGTTTCTTTACTAAACAATTCCAGATATCTCATCTCATATATTTTATTTCTTCCAAATGTATCTAAAATGTAGAAAGTGTTAAAAAAAAAAAAAAAAAAAAACACCAAATGAGTCTGGCCGTATCTGGAATTGTCTGGCCGTATATGTTGAAACAGCATATATAAATGATGAGTCCAAACTTTCAGTGTATCTGTAGTTTAGACCTCTGAAACATGTTTTTTTTTTTCACCCCAAAATTGTGCAGCTGTAGCCCTGGTTAAGCAAATCTCCCTCACCCAGTCCAGTGCCTGTGCTTGTGTAAGATGAATCCACCTGAGATGAACAGATGACCAGAGCCATAGAGCAGGTGATATTGTGCTCCATAATGCCCTGTGATGTATGTTTTGTATCAGGTGGAGTGAATGAGGAGCAGCTGTTCCCTCTGCATGGAGCTCTCACAAACACAGAGGTGTGATGGAGCCTTTCAGCAAACACTGACTCAGCCTCCTGTGTCCCTCCTCTACGGTTTTACTGTACGCCCTCTGCACACGGCACACTCTCACTGTGTCACTCAAGTCCGGGTCTGATAACACGCCGTGCAATGCTGGTCAAAATGATTCCCATATTACACTATTTTCTGATCTATTTTACAATATTCTCTCATCACAAACATCCCTGGAGTTGGGTTTTGCTTCTGTTATGGAAATCTTTACATCAGTGAACTTTTATTGGGTTTAGGACTGATTATAAATGGTACATCAGGTGTCTACTGTTAAGTGAGGTTATCACAAATCTTTTGATTCTTACATCTTGGTTTTTATATCTAGTTTCTTCTAATCCTAACTATTATCCCTTGCAGAACACTCTGACCTTGTGCTCCTCATACAAGATGATTATTTATATCAGGAGTCTCCAACCTGGCCAGAAGTCTCCAAAATTTTATCATTTTACCATTGTACATGTATCATTTTGTTGCCTAAGTTTGTACACTAATAAATGGATAAATGTTTATGTTTTATAAGCATCTAACATAGGGTGACCAGATTTTCAAAATAAAAAACTGGGACGCCCCAGGTTTGAGGTGGTTGGTAATAATAAAATAATGAGACAAGTGCGTAATTAAGGAAAACTTTTCTGCACTCGGCCCATTCATGACTAGTCACATTATCTTTGTGTTTTGGTGATTTTTAAGCAGCTTTTCGGTATTTTACTAGCCAGGCTGGCGCCACCTAGTGCCTCCACTCAATTTAATTTTCTCTCCAGTGACTAGGTCAGGAATCAGAATACACTAGACAGGTGCAAGTTTGGACACCAGCCTATTGGTGAATAGCCATACATTCAGTGTCTGCAACGATTCCTGTGGATCCGAGGATTTAAAGCCAGAACAAAGAGAATGTTTGGTGAATTTTATCAAGGGGAAAGACATTATTGCCCTTCTTCCTACGGGATTTGGGAAAAGCTTAATATACCAGTTAGCTCCGTTAGTGGCGCATTACATACGTCACAACCAAATAGCAGCAATTGGTTAAATGAAAAAAAGTACCTGCCTACCGTTGAGCGAACAAATTCTAACATTGCGAGGTCAGATGGTTTCTACAAAGTGAAACCGGCTGATGAATCAGGCTAGTATTTTACCTAAACAAATAACAATTTACACCTCTCTTTACTGTTGGCTCTTGACTGTCAGATTGGTCAAAAAATAGGGACACCTGGGACATTTCTTGTATAAAACTGGGACAAATCACTGGTTTTGGATAAATCTGCTGGGACAGGGGACACAGGGCTGAAAACTGGGACTGTCCCGGGGAAATAGGGACATCTGGTCACACTGAAAAAACGGTCCGAGAGGGGTTGCTCAAATTGCAAAAACAAATTTGACAACAATAACATCACTTTTTTACGTTTCTCTGTCAAGCATGTTTAAATCTTATAAACATGGCTTGATTGTGGCCGATGTGAGACCTGCATGTTTTAATCAGGTTGAGGAAACATGACTTTATTATAATTTCTGGTGAGGCTCCTCCCTCTGGAATTCTCCTCCCCAAAACCTTTGGAGGGAAAATTCAAATGTAACAGGACACAGGACAGTTAGATGAGCAGAGGACACACAGTGTGGAGCAGGAGGATTATGAGAGCTGATCTGGAGGTGAGACTTTTCAAAGATTTTATTATGTGCTTCTCCGGCCTAGAATGTCGTCATTGTTAAAACATGTTTGTGTTGTTTTATTTGAAATTAGAGTTAATGTAAGGACAGCTTGAAACAAATTGTCTTTGACTGTCCATCTACAAGAGTGTGACAGTTGTACTCAGATATGAATGTGTTGCTTCCAGAGTCGTCTACAAACAGTGATGTCCAGAGCTCTGCTGGAGCTGTGGGGAAGTTCATGAATGTTATAGTTGATGTTTCAGAAAAAAGGAAGATGTTTGAGAACCAACAAAACACAGACCACAGATGAACAAAGTAAGTAAACCAACTAAAATTATTTTAAAATTTTTCAAAATGAACTTCCTATTGAAACTGTTATCATACTTGTACAAGGTGATGTGGCATTAGGAGACTTTATACCAGATGCCCTCCCTGTTACTGTGTTTAGAGGAAGAAAAGCAGCACATGGTGAGTTTTGTTTCTGCAGATACAGTTCTAATGTTCTTGTGATTCTGTTCTGGTCCATTATTGTAGTAATAATTGCTATAAGTGTATTTAAACATGTACAACAGAGTAGATCATCAGAATGTGATCATCATGTGTTATTCCTGTGTTCACAGGCAGAGACCAGAGCGTCTTCACTGGAATAAATCTTCACACTGTCCAGCTCCAAACTGTGTGTCTCTGTCCCTGTGCTCTCTTTGTGTTTGATTCTGTTTAAGACAATACAGATCTGTAGAAAACTAAAGACTGTTTTTGTATTCTTTTACAGAATTAGATCAATTAAATTAAATTATACATACTTATACATTTCATGATAAGATAAATATGCATATTCAGCATGATTTGTTCAAATTTCATCAACATGAAAAAGTGATGTTCATGTTCCGAGAAAAATATGTGTAGAGGGGTTCGAAAAAAGTTTCAAAGCCTAAACATAATTTTATTGCGTGCAACCGCTGTCCATAACTTTTTACACAAATCCAGCAACTTTTTTTTTTCAGTGCACCCTAATCTAATCGTACTTCATCTCAGGCTTGCTGTGGCTCTGTTATATAATAAATTTCTTGTGACCACTAAAACTAGTAGCTCTCTGGCATTTTTGTTTTGTAAAGGTAGCTCACCGGAGGAAAAAGGTTGGAGACCCCTGGTTTATATCAATCCTAGCTTATTATTCTATTGATTATTGACCCAGCCTTGTGCTGACCTGCTTTCAGATGAGACTAGATCTTATCTTATGTGTCTGTGCCTTATGTCCTGCCCTCTGTTCATACATTGTTATGTCACAGTTTAGGAACAGACGATGCTCTGTCAGGGACCGGTAGTTTTGTGATTGTGTGCACAACTGCTTCAATAAATCAGACTCCTCCATTCAAGACACTTTTCAGTTCTTTTTATTCTTTGATGTGCAGTCTAGAAACTCCACAACATTTCATTCGCACAAACTCTGTATATTTAGCTTGAGTTATATTGTCAAACTGAAAAAGAACTCAGATTAAATATGCAGGTGGCAGGTCAAATGTAGCGGTTAACTTGAAAACTACCGCTTCATGACATCACAAGGTGGAACAGAGCATTTTGAGCTTTGGAGATGTAGACAGATTAATAATAAAGGATTACTCAAACATGTGAAAATGAAACAAAACACATCAGGTATGTTTTTGATGAGGTAACAGCATTATCACATGGCTTAAAGCTCACAAGAGTCAATTTTGTGTAGTATAGGACCTTAACTAATGAAGCCCTGAAGATAAAACAAGTATTTTCTGATGCGGCTGACAGAAAATTCTCATATTCAGTTAGTGCTGTTGGTGTTTACAGTTTTGCATGACCTCCCACTGTGTTTTATTGTTCCTCGAGAGCTGCCTTAATGTGATAATGACTCCACTTGTCTGTGCAGGGGGCATCACATATTGTCTGGCCTGGAATAAAAGACATTATTTCAAAAAATGAATTTATCTTCTCTTTCATGTCATTTATTTTTTTTTTTGAGCTGATTAATGAACACAAGAAGTAAGTATACATGTATCAAGTATACTTAACATTTCACATATTTGTTTCTTATTTACATCTCCACAGCCTAAAATGCTCTGTTCCACCTTGTGATGTCATCAAGCAGTAGTTTTCCAGCTCCCTTTATACCTTTAGTTTAGTAGAGATTGACAATTCCAAGTCTGAAATTGCCCAAATGATTATAGTGAATCATCGCAGGGTTTGTGTGTTAAACATGTGTGAATGAAACAAAACACAGCTCAAGGTTTGTTTTTTGATGAGGAAACATTATAACATATCATCAAATTGCATAATACGAGCCCTTTAAGCTTGAAAAGGAGTGTGAAGAAGAAAACTTAATTAAATTCTACCCCTGTCAAGCTTGGTAATACTTGGTAATACTGAATTCATCAAAATGACTATCACAACACTAGAGACCTCATTTGCATAAGGTTTCTCTCACAAATTCATGTCCTTCTGATTAAAAAGTGCTGACTGTAAAAGACCATTATCGTTGAATGAACAAAACTGGGAGAGGTATTCAGATTCATCTGTGCTTCATATGGTTTTCCACACATGGCCATGTTGCTCCATGGCCCCATTGAATGTGATTTTAATTAAAAAGAACCTTAAGATTACATTGTGTTATTATTATCTTGTTATAGATGCTTTTTGAGAGCATAACATTGAAAAGATAATGCTTACCTTGTCAGAGGATGACTGTCCCTCCTCCGTCTGGCCCCATAGTACAGTCATGGGCTGCTGCAGATCTGAGAACAACAACAGAGAAGAGTCAGAAAGAAATGGTCCCAAACTTCAAACAGTACATTGAAGGAGCAATGTTCAGTCCTTAAAGGGCCTGAATTATTCTATTTTCTGATCTGTTATAATGTTTCCTGATCAAAAACATACCCGTGTTTTGTTTAGTTTCATTCACACATGTTTAACACACAAACCCTGCAAACCAAGTCTGAGTTCTTCTTCCAAACTGAAAAAACTCTGTTCCTCCTTGTAATGCCATGTGGTAAGTGCTCCACTCTGTTTTAAACTCCATACACCTTCCATCATTCGGATAATTTCAACCCAAGAATTCTCACACAGCACTCCTCCATTGTGCCACTCATGTCCGGGTCTGATAACACGGCATGTAGTGCTAGTCAGAATTATGCCCATGTTACACTATTTTCTGATCTATTTTACAATATTGTTTTCTCATCACAAACATCCCTGGAGTTGTGTTTTGCTTCTGTTATGGAGATCTAAACAGCAGTGATTGTGATGTTTTACTGGGTTTAGGCCAGGGGTCTCCAACCTTTTCCCTCCAGTGAGTTAACTTAACAAAACTAAAATATCAGAAAACTACTCAGTTTAGCAGTCACAAGAAATTTAGTAAATAAAAGAACCACGGAATTAGATGGGGAACAGTTAGATGCCTATTAAACATAAACTATTTATTGCTGCTCAAAGTTAGGCATCAAAACAATACATTTACAATGGTAATAGCCATTTAATTAACAAAAATTTCATTATTCAATACAATGCATATAAATGAGAAATATCTTGGCAAGCTACTAGAAAAGAGTTGGAGAACTACAAGTTGGAGACCCCTGGTTTAGACTGATTATAAATGGTACTTCAGATGTCTACTGTTAAGCAGGGTTATCACAACATCTTGATTCTTACATCTTGGTTTTTATATCTAGTTTCTTGATGGCTTGCTATAATCTGAGCTGTTATCCCTTGTAGAAAACTCTGGCCTTGTGCTCCTCATACACGTCTATTGTTTATATCAATCCTAGCTTGTTATTCTATTGATTATTATTATCTGGAATACTACCACTTCATGACATCACAAGATGAAACAAAGCATTTTGAGTTCTGGAGCTGGAGACAGATTAATTAAGAAGAGTTACTTAAATGTGTACTTAAATTGTGTGAATGAAACAAAACATAGCTACAGGTATGTTTTTGGTAAAGTGCCAGAGTATCTAGGCAAAAAGCGAACAGTGTAGCTCCAGAATCGATGGGAGTAAAGCCCTGAGATGTGTGTGTTTACAGTTTTATAGGGTGTATCAGTGTGTGTGTGTGTGTGTGTGTGTGAAGGAGAACTGCCATTTTGTCTAATATTTATATGCCTTCAAGGGAGAGTGCTATGCCAAAAATGCCACCTTATTCAATTTCAGTGTTAAAGAGGAGCATTTTCACAAATTTAAACTCTATCATCTCTCTCAAACTTTTATCCCAGCCATAAAAACAAACTCTGCTTTCATACTGAAATTGCACTTTTGACTGACAGTTGTTTGAAGCTACCACAGTTAAGTCTTATCTAAATTTAAGTCTAGGTCTCTATTACACCACACTGTTATTATGCTTCCCACAATGTGTTTATATATAATTTCAGAGCTGACTATTAGACTGCAAACTGAGAGTCAACAGTTATTTAGAAAACAAATGCAAAAGTAATAGACCAATTTCAAAGCTGACGTGGCTCACAAAGGACCATTTGGAGAGTACAGATAAACACATTCTAGGTTTAAAAGATTCTTTTATCTTGTATTCTTGGATCACAAATTCTGAGTTACAGTCTAATTTTACTCAAATAGCTAAACCCATTGAGAAGTTATCACAGGAACAAACACATAACATGGATAATTTCAGCCCTGGAACTGCCAAACTCATCTGAACAAAAGGTGAAAGGAGCTGTTTTGAGCTTTGAATATGTAGACAGACTTATAATACATAATAATACTCAAACATGTGTGAATGAAACAAAACACAACAACAGGTATGTTTTTGAGGAGGTAACATGGCTTAAAGCTCACAAGAGTCAAATCTGTGTAAAAATATATTAAGCAGTACATCTTTTGTTTGTTTATTTGCTATATGCCTGAAGCAATTGATTGAATATTCATCGCCTCAAAACTATACCCTGGGGAACACCACTGACAAATGTTTGCCAAATTATGCATTCTGTTTCCCGTTCTTAATTTCAAGAATTTGACAGTTGTTGTTTTTTTTTATTTTCTGAGATTTATGGAAAATTAGAGTTTGTGAATCTCCAGACTAAGATGCGTGAATGAATGAGAACGCCACAAAAAATAATATCTGAGTGAGTTCAAATTACTCAGATTAAGAAGATTTAACTTGATTTGAGTAGATATCACTTGACAAGTAAAATTATCTACCAATGGATTAAATCTTTTTATTCTTAATTCAAACAACATACGATTTAGCTTCTTATTTTAAGTGTAAAGAGTTTTTGTTTTCTTATCTTCAGTGCAAATATTTGTATTTTCCCATTTAGTTCGCTTGACAGTAGATGGGTATTTTTTTATTGAACCAATTGCTGCTATTTGGTCGTGACGTATGTTATGCGCCACTAACGGGGCTAACTGGTATAATAAGCTTTTCCCAAATCCTGTAGGAAGAAGGGAAATAACGTCTTTCTTCTTGATAAAATTCACCAAACATTCTCTTTGTTCGGTCTCGGGAATCGTTGCCAACACAGAATGTATGGCTCTTCCCTGATTGGCTGGTGCCCGAACTCGCACTTCCGAAGTTCTTGCAGACTGTCTAGTTTATTCTGATTCCTGACCTGGTCACTGGAGAGAAATGTAATAGGGTGGAGGCACCAGGTGGAGCCAGCTTGACTAGAATTTACCCTTACCAATATAACATGTTAATTCAAGTAATTTTAACTTGGCAAGATTGAAATTTTTATGTTGTGTTTCAAAAGGACAGGACAGATGTGAGTCCTTGATATTAGTGATGGAGCTGGAGCTGTTTCTGGAGCAGGACCCTGTCCCAAAGCCTCATCACTCGTCTGTATTAATGAGTACTGATGGTGGATTTCCATAAATGACAGGGGCAGATTGAAACTTCGCACAGTGCAGGTACTAGAAAGGTCAACAAGTACAAAAACACTACAGATGCTCGGGCTTTCCTCTGAGGGCTCAAGAGGATATCACCATGGAAACCCCCAGCAACAGGGGCCGAACATCGCCCTATTTCAGAGAAAGCAATTCCTCTATAAAACTGCCTTTCCTCACTTGTTGTTTTAGACTGTACATATAAATGAACAAATATGAAGTGAACATTTATTTATTTATTTATTTTATTTATTTATTCATCATGCTATTATTTTTTGGCCACCAAAAATCCAAAAATTAACATAAATACATATTTCTACGATGATTTGTCTTGTCTTTGCTGCATGAACAAAAGGAAGATAAATATTTTAAACCCTGCTCCTCTCATGCATCAAAAAATTAAACATTTCTTTAATAATCTTTCTCCACCCCAACATGGGGCATTTCTGGCTCCATTAACTCTAGCTCCAATTTAATTTATATTGAAAATTTGTCACCCTTCTCTTTGTAAATGCTGCAGGGAGCCTCATCATGTTGGTCTTAAAATGGTTGTATTAACCTGCTCTACATGATCCTGGTGGTTTTATTTTGTTCTTTTGTCTGTAAATAAATTCCTATTTCTAATGTGGAACTTGACCACAAATTCCCTTAGTCTACATCTTTATACAGTCTGTGGTCTTTTCTCAAAACTTTTACTGGTGTATTTTTTTTTCCAGTTTTCCTCTTTTCTGTCATCATTATTTGTCCTCTATCTCCCCCTGTTCTCCTCCTCTGGTCCCTCCACCTGTTAATGCTCCTCTCTTGTCCTCTTATCTTTACACTGGGGCACACATCTGTCCATTCCTCCTGTGCAACTCAGCGCTCAGTGTTCGATTGGCTTCTTTGTAAAAACAAGACCTTAGTGAACAAAAGCTCAGATTGTTTTGGAAAATGTTGCAGGCAGTAGATGGTGAAGGTCATGGATACAGCCTGGAGAGGAGTAAAATGCCAGGGACCGGTGAAATAATATAACATTATCCAGACTTAAGCTGTCCTCTCATTATTCTGACCTTAATATTTGCACCTCGTTCTGATTGAATCTAACTATAATTGCTCTGGCTTAATCACTGCTTTGGGCACATTTTATAAAAGCATAAAACTCTCTCCCTAGACTTTAAATTCAAAAAAAGGACCAAACGGACTACTAAATGGTGTGAAATAAGATGTTTTTTTTTCCTGTATCAATGGAGACTGTGCAAGATCTTTGTACCTATGGACCTTTGAGACGGCATAGGCTTTTTTACACCAAATCTGGCTTCTTACGCCAAATACAGCAGAAGAGTGACCAGAGGAAATACTCCCAGACCTTCTAGAGGAAATACTTTGAGGAAATGGCCCATTTCATCATCAACAGAAACAAGACTGAGAATGGGACATATCCTGTTGTGTTCACCTGGTTCCCCCTGGACACTGCTCACTCTTTGTCCTTAAGGCTACATTTGTATGATGACGAAAAGTGGCGTCACGTTTTCACTTTTTATTCTGCGTTTAGACGAGTGTTTTCAGGGGAAAATTTGCACACATACAGTGATGCAAAAGTGTGTGGAATTTTATTGGGTATGCATGCCAGGCAGCTAGGTAGGCTTGTCAAAGCCTGATCCCTTCAGATCTCAGAAGGTAAGCAAGGTCGGGCCTGATCAGGACTTGGATGGGAGACAGCTAAGAAAATTAGGTGCCACAGTGGGGCACCAGTCGCAAAAAAACTGTCATTGTGTCCTTAGGCAAGGCACTTCCCCTACATTGCCTATTATGAAAGTGGTGTGTGCATGAGTGGGGATGGTGGTGGTCGGATTGGCCGATGGCGCAGATTGGCAGCCTCATATCTGTCAGTCTGCCCCAGGGCAGCAGTGGCTACAATAGTAGTTTACCACTACCAGGTGTGGAGTGAATGAATAATGCTCTGTAAAGAGTCTTTGAGTGTCCAAAAAAGTGCTATATAAAACTGATGCATTATTATTACTAGGTGGTGATGTATGTGATGTAAACACATACGCGACATGAGCAGATCTGACCAGAGTTTTGCGTCTTGGGCAGTGTAGACGCAAACGCTATGATAGAATGTATTCGACTTTTCCACTCTGAAGGGTCGTTTTACATTTTTGAGTTTTTAAGTCCCAAAACCTCCGTCATCTAAATGAAAGGCACTTTTGATATATTCCAATATTGTGTCATTTTTACCCTAAGACCCTAAGCCTCTACCACTCCTCAAACTGCCCTGACACGGATCTGCTGACTCTACCTGACCAGTCCTTCTGTTAAATTGCATTGAGACCTTTGACTGAGACACAAAGGTGACAGTGTAAATGTTGCTGCAGCAAAACTTGAATTTCCTCAGGATCAATAAAGTATCTCTATCTACAAAACAACTAGGCCTGTACACCCAGTGCCTGTGCATCTCTGTATAGCTCAATTCAGAAAATAGCTGAAAGCTTTTTTTGACAAATGACAACACAGAACGCTGTCGAGGAAATAAACAGCTTCTATTCTTTGTTTTTTGTTCAACAGAGCTGTGGTGTCTGCACATATGTCTGAACTGAAACCTGGGATATTTTCTTGTGAGGAGGGTGTTCTTACTATTGTTGTCATGATACTAAGGAACAGATTCAATACTCAATACTGATTCTGATACCACAATAATAATTACAAAAACAATGAATTTAGACAATGTAATGCAATTTTCAACAATAAAATCAAGTACTTTCTTTTATATTACCAAAACAAGGTTCATTTTTGTCCTCTGAATGTGACCTTTTTATTGACACCTGCTCAAATAAGTATCTAATTTCAATTTTAGAATCAATTAGTATCTGATTTTCAATACTTGTGATGACCCTATGCCTCCATACTATCAATGTGTCTTGGCCAGTGACACAGGTGGATTCAATCCCCTGCCATCCACTTACCAAGAAAAAACACATATAAATGCCTGTACAATAATAAAGCCTGCAGTCCAGCCTGATTTATTTGCTCTCCTGTTACTAAAGGTTTTGCTACTTGGTTACAATTCAGATATGAATATGAATCAATCAATATGAATTCATAATATATAGCTTGGGACAGAATGCCTTAGCCAGTCTCACGCTTAAGTGTTATGGTTTTAAGTATCTGCCCTTCTGTTGACCCAGATGTGTAGAGCAACAGCTGATAAGATTTTAAAGGGCCCATATTACATTGTTTTCTGATCTGTTATAATGTTGTTTCCTCATCAAAAACAAAGGTTTAACACACAAACCCTACATAATTAGGCTGAGTTCTTCTCTCTAGCAAACAAAAAAAAAGGTAGAAAAAGGTAGCTGATAACTACCACTGCATAACATCACAAAGTGGAACAGAGCATTTTGAGCGATGGAGATGTAGACAGACTAATAATAAAGGATTACTCAAACATGAATAAAACAAAACACAACTCCAGGTATGTTTTTAGGGGTTAAAAACATTCTAACATGGCTTAAAGGAGCACTAAGTATCTTTTCTTGTGGAGGGTCCGCCACCTGATTGTCTCCATTATTCTGTAATATCCCTTTAATGCCGACTGTCACAAATATACGACAAACCTTTGGGATCAAGATATAAGCCGAGATCGCAGCTGTATTCCCCCAGTCCTGGTTAGTGCAGATGCAGGACCTTCCTAGGAACCTTTGCCAAGCACTTGTTTTGAGTTGTCACAAATTTGCAACATACTCTATTAGTTTTTTTGTTTTTTTTACTATAGTCAAATTAATAATCTCAACTTAATTTACCATTTACTTCAAGACAAAATCAGGGGTAAAAAGGGGTTAAATCAAACTTTATCTTGCCTTTATTCAGTTACAGTTACGGGAGTTTTTATTGCTCAAAAATACTTTGAAAAATATGAATTCTGACCATGAGTGGGCTTGCCTCACCACAGATCTGACTTGTAACTCAGCCTGTTGGCGGTCTCCTGCTTGTGTCCATGGAGATAGCTACATGCTGTGCCATACAGTGGAGAAAAGTTGCACAGAGCACATGTTAACCTCACAAGAGTCAATTTTCGACCTTTAATGCTAACCCAGAAAGCCAAAACCCTTGAAAGAAATAACTGTGTACATTCTATTGTGACCCTTTTGTTCTCCTAGTTTGATTTATACGTGACGGGAAAGGTTTAGAGAAGGTTAAAGGTCGAAACTTGTCAATAAATCAATCCTTCAAATCTCTTAGCTGCGCACTGTAGCTCCAAGGCTCTGTCCCCTCAAAGATACGGATCAGAAATGGTTTTGACAGCTCAAATTAGCGCTTGCCCACCCTCCCCGCGGAAAATTGTGGCTCCCGCTGAGGTACTGGCTTCCTTTTCCTTCAGATCTAACCAGCGCTGTGTACGTTCTAAGAGGGGGTAAGTGTACAGGGACAAGGATCATAACATTACAAACCTAGTCACGATTAACAAGAGCACAGACTGGGTTTAAACTGTCACACACACCATCGTCCTAATCCCCCCAAGACTCACAAATACGCTCCACACACAACCACTGGCGAGTCTTAAGGCTGCTTCCAGGGTTCAACTTTCAGATTTTTTCTCATCTTTTTTTTGGAGATTGTGAAAATAGCTTTGCACTTCATCTGCGCTGTTGACATTTTACTCACGTCACGCTGCTCGGCTCCCTCCTCCACTTAAAGGACCTATATTACGCAATTTTCTCTCTATCTCTGTTATAATGTTGTTTCCTCATCACATCGCGTTTTGTTTTATTCAGATATGTTTAATGCACAAACCCTGCATATTAAGTTCTTCTCTCAAACACAAAACGCTGTGTTCCACCTTGTGATGTTGTGTGGTAATACAGGAAGGGCTCCACTGTGTTTTTAAACTCCATACGCCTTTACTGAATGATTGAGATGATTTCAGACCAGGAATTGACAATCTTTACTGAACTAAGCTGTTAACTTGACACTAGACCAAGTCTTTGTTTTGCAAGTCTCAAGTAAGTCTCTGAATCTCAAGTCAGAGTCAAGTCCCAAGTCAAATACAGGCAAGTCTGGAATCACTGGATCATAAATCCAAGTCGTCTAATTTGAGCTTCAAGTCATTTCAAGTCTTTAAACCAAAGTACCGAATATAGCTTAAATTTTTGGAATTTATATGAATTTTAACTAAACTGTACTTAAAAAAATCATGGTATATTTATATATGAGTATTTATAGAGTATACAAAAATTGTAGAAATTAATTTAGCTAATTTTTCCTTTTTAAATGTCTTGACAAGATCTTAGTATGAATCGTTACGGTCAGAACAGAAAGTATTCAGATTTAAAAGTGCTTATCAAGTCACAGGCTTCAAGTCTGAGTCAAGTCCCAAGTTTTAATCCATTCTATCAAGTCAAGTCTGAAGTCCTAAAAATAGTGACTCAAGTCTGACTCGAGTCCAAGTCACAACAAGTTCCCACCTCTGCTACATGACATCACAAGGTGGAACAGAGCATTTTGAGCTTGAACATGTAGACAGACTAATAATAATGGATTAATCAAACGTGTGAATGAAACAAAACACAACTCCAAGTATGTTTTTGAAGAAGTAACAACATTCTAACATGGCTTAAAGCTCACAAGAGTCAATTTTGCAGAATATAGGACCCTGACACCTTTAATATTTTGTCATAGCACCGGCAGAAGCTGTCACCCACTTTCTCTGCCTCCAACTTTTGACCCCCAACAAGTCCCCCACTGCTGGACTGACCTTTGTGACCCGTGCAGAGGCAGGCACCCATGTCGTGATGGCGTCCAGCTGCGCGGTTATCTGTTCACCATCCTGCTCTGGACCAGGGGAGGCTGGGGGAGCAGGGGATCGTGGAGGTCAGGGTTGTGATAGGATGCAACTCCAGGTGTAGTCCTTTAGGTAGGAGGATTTAGGGCATATTTAGGATCTGGAAGTCAAAGAAGGCTGGAGACAGGAGACCAGGTTGACCGTTAGTCTGCAGGTTGCACTTTGTAGAGAAGAGTTTTAATGTAGGGTCTAACAAATTTTTTTGTAAATTGTAAATTTCAGACATAAATTAATAAGTTATGGTGGTATGAACATGCATCTCAAGTTGTCACTACAGGGTCAAGAACGCTGGCTGGAGGTTAAAGAGGGTCGAAGTGGTCGTAGTAGTAGTAGCAGTAGTAGGATTATATATGTAGTAGTAGGATTAAAAGCAGTAGGCTTATCTCGATTCCATGTGTTGTAAGATGTCCTCTGCAGAATTTGAAGGTTAAATACTAAATAAATGAAGGCTGCTGGTTGTTGAGAAAATCCAGTTGGTGTAAGAATGTAACTTCTATGATGAGATCTGCACACAAGTTCTGCAGGTGCTTTTCTTCAGCCAGAGGAATGCCCCCATAAACAGCAACTTGTCACCCCTTTGGCTGCGATCCATAGCTTCTGGAGACCAAAAATGGACCATGACCAAGTCCAAGTCTGTCGTCCCACTTGTCACCTGTTGGATCTGTAGTTTTTCAGCGGTAATCCGTAGTTTGTAGGCTGTCCAGTGAAGTCCGGAGACAGTGGTTGAGCGTTGTCTGGAGAGGAGCAGGCTGAGTTCTGAGTGGAGGAGAGGAGCAGACACACAGAGGGGAGAGAGGCAGAGACAGGAACAGGAGGAATTAGAATGTGTTTGCTGACGCTGTGGTGACTCCCCTCCCTTTCTCCCTCTCTCCCTTTCTCCCTCGTTCTCTCGCTCCTCCCCCCTCCTCTCTCTCCAGGGACTTTGGGGACTCTCTGTGTTGACACTGCCTCCTCCTCCTCACTCCAGCCAATATGCAAATGAAAACAATATCTAAATTTGGGGATGCAAATTAGGTTTCAGTATTTTTTTTTTTGCAGGATTTCACAAAATGTCACTGCTGTCTGTGTGGAATTCTGTGGTATTTTCCTTTTAAAAATATGTGAAAATGGAATAACGTAATAATTAAAGGTCTTGTATTTCACAAAATGTACTCTTATGGGCTTTGAGCCATTTTAAAATGTTACTTCATCCAGAATTGTGTTTTGTTTCATTCACACATGTTTTAGTAACCCTTTATTAATAGTCTTTCTACATCTCCAAAGCTCAAAACGCTCTGTTCCACCTTGTGATGTCATAACGTGGTAGTTTTCAAGTTAACTTTTACCTGCTTTTTACTTTTTGTTCAGTAGAGATTCCAGGGCTGAACTTATCCAAATGATTCTAGAGAAGGCGTATGGAGTTTAAAAACACAGTGGAGCACCTCCTGTTTTACCGTATGACATCACAAGGTGCAACAGAGAGTAGAGACAAGAATTAAGCCTCAACATGTGTGATTTGTGTGTCTCCAGGTCTGTTTGTGATGAGGAAACATTATAAGACATAATCAGAAAATTGCGTAATATGGGCCCTTTAATGCAGTGCTCCTTAGTAACATTTTAAATATTTTTACACATTGTGAAACGTGATAGGTTGCCAGACTATAATTTTCATTTTTTGGATCATTCTAGCATAACCTCAAATATGCTAATTCTGATTCAACAAGGCAGATTTGAGCATTGGAAACCGAGTCACGACATCTCCCTGACTGTGAGAAACATGAGCACAAGCGATTGCTGTACAAACCCCACTAATTTATTTCTAAAAACATTGACTTGTAAATGGTTTTGTTGGTTTGTTTGTCTAACGGGAAGACAAACAACAATGGCCCAAAAAATCTTGAAATTTAGCAAACACGTTAATAACCTGTGAGATTTGTCCAGCCACAAGAGGTCAGTACAGGAGTAAAATTAAATCAGAGCTGTATCTATTTCACTGTAATAATGAAGAGTTTGATGTGTGCATTGTTTAAAGGACTACTACAATACTGCAACAATACCATACTAAATACTAAAGACTAACAATACTAACATTTCAAACTCGATTTTGACAGCAAGGAAAAGACTCGATGCTCTATACCGATTCTGATATCACAATGATAAATTTAATAACTCTTGCTATCAGGAATGGGCAATTATTTTTTCCATGGAGCCAAAATGCTTAGCTCAGTTTTGCATAATATTAACTGTATTTCTTTATAAAAAGCAGTAAATAGCATTGTTTTGACACGTTGGTCAGACTGGTAAGAGTTTATGTTATGACTAAGCAATGAAAAAGTGAGGCTGCCTTACAAAAAATATCATAAAAAAGCACCTCTAAAATAAAAGCAATGGAGCTTTAGTCCATGCATGAGGTAAGATTATAAAATATTTATTCTGTAATTCTAAATGAGCTTAAACAGGCCAGTCAGAGTCAACCAAAGGGACATATGTGTCCTGGGAGCTGTCCAATGTCCAGGTCTGCTCTACATAGACAACAGAATGTTATTTTCAACATTAATTCATAGTACTTTCTTTTATGTCACCCTGTGGTCTTGTGTATCTGTGTAATCTCTCAATGGTCCAGGTAGGTTCCACAATGGTTCATGGGCATAAACTAATCTATGCGGTCTTGTAATTATTCTGATACAGCTCAAAATCATTCTAAAGCTATTCAGAAAAGGTTCATTTCTGTCCTGTGAAGGTGACTTTTTTAGTATTCATACCTGCTCAAATGAATATCTGGTTTCGGTACTTCTGACAACCATATTTTAAAGCATTTACCCCTGAAGTAGAATATCATTACAGACAGGACTCTTTCTAGTATGCTACTTACTTTGACATTTATTCGTTCATTCCCTCAAATAATAAACATGCATTCATATTCATCTTTTATTCATATATCGATCCATTCTGGTATTCATTTCTTTCTTGGTTCTTTACACGACATTGTATGCCTTTAATGAGCTACCTGCTCTTACATGAAGGCCAGTCTCCCCTGTTTCCATGCTCTCGCACAGCTCTAGCCCTGTTTAACCTTCCCCTCTTCCGCCCACTCCATGTGATTATTGTTTTATGGAGTGGAGAATAACAGCTTCCACAGAGAGAAAGAAGGCGAGGAGAGGTGGGTGAGTTAGAAAAGAAGGCTACTCATAACAAAAGTCAACTGAACTTCGTTTGACGGCACAGGCTTTAATACAGCGGGATTAACATTTCTAGACTTGCTGTACTTGCATTCAAGGTCCTATATTATGCAAAATTGACTCGTGTGAGCTTTAAGCCATGTTATAATGTCATTAACATATCAAAAGTATACCTGGAGTTGTGTTTTGTTTCATTCAGGCATGTCCGAGTGACTCTTTATTATTAATCTTTTGCCTTTAGTTCAGTAGAGATTGGCAATTCCAGAGCTGAAATGATCTGAATGATTCTAGTGAAGGTGTATGGAATTTAAAAACACAGTGGAGCATTTATTGTATTACCATATAACATCACAAGGTGGAACAGACTAGTTTCTGTTTGAGAGAAGAATTCGGCCTAAAAATGCAGGGTTTGTGTGTTGAACTTGTGACTGAAACAAAGCACAACTCCAAGTAAGTTTTTAATGAGGAAACAACATTAACATAGATCAGAAAATAGCATAATACGGCCCATTTAACAGCTATTTATATGGCACTTTATCTTAGAACTGGAGAGTTTCTTAATGGCTCCTTACACCATTTCCTCCCAAGTGAAATCACAAGTCACTGTTATGTGCCTGGTTGTGACAGGAGGAGCATCCAACATTTGAAAAATTAATCAATTATAAATGTCTGATTCACTTTTATGACCCCTGACCAAAAAGGAGTGACAGAAAAAACATTTAGAGGAGCATTGTAAACTATTTAATATAGCACCATCTAATGGTTACTTTATGTAATTGCACGTAGACTATTGATCCACAAGTAGCTCACTCATCCCAATATAATAGAATAGCAAAGAGCAACAGTATAAATGGTAACAATACATTCAGTAGCAAAAACAGTAGGACACTGGTGTCAAATAAAGCGTTATTATATAAATGTGCATGCACAAGTAAAATCAAACTATAGAAATGTGCAAAATTCATCTCAGCTATATACAAGAGGTGTGTAATGGGAAACAGTGCAAAGATGAAACAGTGATTGACAGGACATAGGGTTATCTCTGTTACATCAGGGTGAGCTGTTGTACAGTTGGAGTAAGGTATGAGTGTAGTCTTGTATCGCTCACTGTTTGAACGAAGCACTTAACATTTTGCTCCCATTATAGAGAAGTGTAGCATTCAAGCATAAGACCAGTGAACTAAATGAAGGCCCAGTGATATATTTTGTTTGTGGGTATCCCTTATGACCAGCTCGACATACTCGTTAAAGCTTCTTATGGCTCCCATGTGTCACTCAAGTGTCATTCAACTCATGCAAATGTTTTCTCTTCATCTCAAACATACCTGGAGTTGTGTTTTGTTTCATTCACACATGTTTAACACACAGACCCTGCATTTCTCAAATTGAAAACACTCTGTTCTACCTTGTGATCTCATGTGATAATACAGCAAGCGCTCCACTGTGTTCACACCTTCACTAGAATTTGGACAATTTCAGCCCTGAAACAGGCAATCTTTACTGAACTAAAGGTAAAAGGTATCTGTTAACATGAAAACTACTGAGCATTTTGAGCTTTTGCGATGTGTGAATGAAACAAAACACAACTCCAGGTATGTTTTTCAGGAAGTAACAACATTATAACATGGTTTAAAGACTCAATTTTGTATAATATAGTCTCATTTTAGATCAATATTGCGATTTACAATGAACAAAAAGTAAAATCATAATCATACTGTATGTTTTCTATGTTTTTTGAGGATTTGTTGATAATAATTTAAAATCAGCCTTGCCTCACTTTACATTC